CCGAAGACGGCAAGACGATCCTCCATGGCATCTAAGGGCAGGTCAGCATCCAGGAGGAGATCAGACAAGGCAGGGCATCAGCATCATCACCAAGAGAAGGGACACCGACGGACAATAGTGTCGTAGGCGATGGCAGACTTGAACTTGTTATAGATGATAGAGGCCGGCAATGCAATAGTTGGGGGGGGAGGGTATTGGGGGCGGCGGGACCTTAGTGAGAGGGTCAGTTGTCTTGATGACTTCGTTCAGCCACTTCTGCCCCTTCCACATCTGCTGGCTAAGAGAAAGGAGAACGTCACGTGTGCTAGCATGCAGTACCCCTTCCTACCTGCAGTAGCCCACCGGGTACTTGTACTTGCCAGTCCTGAAGGCCTCGCTCTTGGGTATCTCCGAGCCAGGGTTGAGGAGGGTGAGCGAGTCGATCTGCTGCGGCTGGAAGGCTGGCCGATCGCTGCTGGACTTGTCCCCGGCAGAAGGGAGGAGACCATCATGGTTGTGGTGGAGCTTGATCTTCTTGATCTTCTTTCCGTCCTACAGCACCGTAAGAAAGCGAGCAAAGAGGAGGACGAGGAGGACGAGGACGAGGAGGAGTTGGAAGTGAAGGGGGTGTGGGTGAGGTGGAGTAGAGACCTGGAAATCATCGTCCCCGGACTCATCAGATTCAGCTTGCGCTCTCCCCCGCTTCTTCTTGCTCCCTCGCGCCCCTGCCCCTGCGCTTTTCTTGCTCGCATCGAAATATCGCTTGAGGCATTCGTTTGCTCGCTTCGGCAGCTTGCTCAGAACATCCTCCTTGTTCCCCCCCCTCTCGCCCTCCTGTTCCCTCGACGGAAAATTTCGCAGCAGCGACGCGATGCTCGAGCTTGACCCGCTCGCGATCCTCCCGCACTCCTCGAGCCCGTACTTGTACACTCCCCACAGCAGCTCCTTGTCGTGTTTCACCGTCCATGTGCTGCATGGTCGAGCAGCATTGAAGTCCTTGGGGTTTCCCAGCACGTCCCTGCTCTCTCGGCAGGTCTTCCCCAGCAGCGCCAGCTGGAGGAGCCGCCGCATCGTCTCCCCGCAAGTCTTGTCGGAGATGTTACACACTTTTCTCATAACCCGCTCGTCCACCTTGAGCCTCGCCCCCGACCCCTCCCCGACTTTCTTCAGCTCTTGGTCCTCCTTCACGATCTGCTTCAGCTCCTCAGGAGACGCGCCCGCCACCTTAGCGCAGGTCTTGACGTACTCGCGCGAGAAGCTTATCACGTCGTCCACGCTGGGGGCCTTCACGTTTGCCGCCCGGTAAATTTCCTCCCATCGGCCAAACCCCAAAGAGAGCAGGTGCTTCCTGACGCTCTTCATGTCCACCCCTGTCCAGTAGTTGGACCCTCTCCTCCTGTCGCTGTCGCTCAAGCTCCCGTCGCTCTGCGATCCCTCCTTCTTGGACTCATCGAACCCCAACCGCGACACTCCCGTCCTTCTCCGAGGACCCATATCTTCATGCACCACCTCCACCTTTTCCTTCTTTACCGGATTTGGCATCAACTTCTCCCAGAAGTTCGGATCGTTGTAGTCGATCTCTGCCCCAGCTGATGCCGGCACAAAGCTCGCCGTTGAGAACGAGTTCCCAGCTGACCGAGCCCCACTGTCTTCCACGATCTTGGTACTTCGCCGCTGCAGGATAGATTCGATGTCTTCCTCGTTAAACTTTGTGCTCTCCTCTTCCGCCTCCTTCTTGAAGAGATCGTAAGCCCCGTGCCGCAGCAGCCGCTCCAGCTCCTTCTTGTCCTCCTTGCTCGTCTTCTTCGTCCCCTGCTTCCCCGTGATCACCGCCTGCTCCAGACCCTGTTTCTGCGACGCCCGCTCCAGCATCCTCCTCTCGTAAGTCTTCACCGTGATGAGCCGGTAGATTTTCACCTCCCGCGTCTGCCCGATCCTGTGGCATCTCGCCTGAGCCTGCAGGTCGTTCTGAGGGTTCCAGTCGCTGTCAAAGATGATGACGGTGTCCGCCGTTGTCAGATTGATCCCCATCCCCCCAGCCTTGGTGCAGATGAGGAACACGAACCTGTGATCTCCCTGCTCGTTGTACCGATCAATGGCGCTCTGACGCATGTTCCCTCGGATCCGACCATCAATCCGCTCGAAGGGAAACTCCTTGGCCCGCATGTACTTCTCCAGCATGTCCAGCACGCGGATGAACTGGCTGAAGATCAGCACACGGTGATGCTCCGTCCGCAGCTTCGGGAGAATCTTGTCGAGCAAGACCATCTTGCCGGAATGAAAAATGAGCTGTTGCAGCATGTCCGCACCCGACGAATGGCTCCTGACCTGCCGCAGAAACTTCAGACGTCTCCCTCCTCCTCCTTCCTCTTCCCCTCCCTCCTCTCATTCCCAAGCTCTTCTCTCCCCCCATGTTCTTCCTCAATGTTTTGACATGCAAGTCCGCCCATGGGACGTCAGCACTGACTTCCATCAACAAGTCCAGGCTTCAAGGCATCCATCATACATTCAACTCTCTCCGGGGAGCACCCGAACGGCAACGAGCACATACATGAACACGCAAGGCAGACCTGCTCCTCCACCCCGTCGATCAAGTATGGATGATTGCAACACTTGCGAAGCTCCATCTCCACATTTCTCAGCGCAGGCACTTGCGCTCCCTTGGCTCCCTTCCTCAGCCAGTCGAAGTTCTTTTCGAGGATCGACTTATACGTAGTCCGCTGCAGCTGCGACATCTCAACCTCTACAATGATCTCTTCCTTGGGGGGGATAGACTTTTCCACATCCTCCTTGTGCCTGCGGAGCATGAAGGGCTGGAGCGCCTTGCGCAGCTCCACGATCTGCCCGGCGGTCTCTGGGGGGTTCCCGTAGCGGTCGAGGAAGAGCTCGAGGTTGTCGAAGTTGTTGGGGGAGAGGAAGTGGAGCAAGCACCACAGCTCCTCCGTGTTGTTCTGCAAGGGAGTCCCAGTCATCAGGACGCAGTGCGCTGCATCGTCAGGGTTCGAGCAGGGGGGGACGGCCTTGAAGGACTTGAGGGAGGTGAAAGTCTTGGACGATTTGTTCTTCAACCGGTGGGCCTCGTCGACGATCACGCAGTCCCACATGATGTCAGCAAGAATACCTCCGTTCTCCTCGTCTTTCATCACCACCTCCCACGTCGTGATCAGCACGTTGAACTTGAGCTCCTCCGACACCTTTCGGTGTTCATCATCAAGGAAGTAGAACTCGTACTTGAAGATGATGTCCCTTGAGTCCTGGTTGCCGTGGAAGACTATTGCGTTCAAGTCCGTCCACGCTTCGACTTCTCGAAGCCAGTGGGGTATGGTGGATAGAGGAGCCACCACAAGGAACGGGCCGCGTCTTCCCTGCTTCTGGTTCAGCCATGACATGAAGCCCACCGCCTGGACTGTCTTTCCTAGTCCCATCTCATCGGCAAGGATGGAGCCTCTGCGCTGGAGCCAGTTGAAGATGAGCCAGTTGACGCCCTCACGCTGGTACTCGCGGAGGGAGTTGCCTTTGAAGAAGCACTCCTTCACGTAGTCCTCGATGTCCTCTGACTGTGAGATCCGCTCAACAGGAGGACGCTTCTCCCTCTTGTTGTCGGGGATCTTTGAGAACAACTCGAACTGCCGGATCTTCTCGCTCGCCACCTGCGATCCCACAGAGTCCACGATCGACTCTCTTCGCTCCCACGTGGCCTCCGCATATGGGAGGTTTCTCCATTTGCAAAGATATTCCATCACTGCATCCTCCTCACCCTCCTCCGGCCTCTCCCGGCTCGCCACGATCCGCTCGACCTCGGCGAAGGTCGGGTCGAAGTAGTCTCCTCCACGATCTTCCACCTCCCATCGAATGACGTCCCACCACTTGGAGATGAAGTTGTTGAGCCTGATCTTCCCTCCCTCCGCAAAGATCGTGTCCGGGGACTCCCACGTCACATGCAGGTAGCTCTTGTCTCGCCACTTGATCAGGTACCTCTCTGAGAAGCTTCCGTCCTCTTCTCTCTTCTCCTCGAATCCAAGGATCTTGTCAATCCTGCACTTGTTCTGCTCGATCGCCCCCTGTTCTTCTTGATAGTAGAGCTCCTTTTCATCGCTCTCCAGCAAGTCGCTGTCATCAGACTCAATCACATACTTGCTCTTCCCCGAGCTGTTCTGCGCGCTCCTCCTCACTGATCGTCGCTGGTTGCCACCCTTCTTCTTTGTGGCTGGAGCAGCGAATCCATCTGAGTCGCTCGAGTCTTTGCTCTTGCGATTCTTTCCTGCTTTCCCTTTAGGTCTTGATCCGAAGTCCTCCGAGTCGCTGTCGCTGGCCTGAGAGAACTGGCAAGTCGAAACGAGTCAGGATGGGGTCAGACGGCGCCCAGGCTCACATCTTCTTCCTCGGAGGATTCGAATCGATTCGATCGCTTCTTGCTCGCAGGCTTGCCCGCAGGCTTGCCTTTCTTGTTTCCAGCTTTCGACTGCGTGAGGAACGGTCATGGTGGAGGCGTTTAGAGGAGGCAAGTAACCACTGAAGCCTTCTGCTTCTCTTGTGCCTTGACAGGCTTCGGCACCACCGCCTTCTTGTTGGAGGCTGACCATTCTTCTCCTTCGGAATTGCTCTCCGAGCTTGAGGCTATTCGCCTCCTATCACCGCCACTCGAAGCCTTGGAATCCATCCTGCTCGTCAAGATGAATCAAGGACCCACAGGCTACCTACACATCATCTCTAACCTCTTCTTCTTGCTGTCAACGTCTGAATCACTCCCTGGCGCCCGGAAATCCCCGTCGTTGTTGTCGTCATCCCCTCCATCGTCGTCGTCATCGTCGTCGTCGTCGTCGTCGTCGTCGTTCTGGTTTCGGTTTGTATCCTGCGACATCGGTTTGAAGAGCTGCTTCCCTCCTGTGGTTGGTCGAGGAGCGCTCTCGCTCTCTCCATTCTTCACGGGGACGGAATCCGAGCTTCCATCCCCAGACTCGGAATCACCGGAATCGGACATCAACAGTTTGCCTGGCAGACGAGACAGGTCACCCAGAGAAACGATTCAGCACAGGAAGGGAAGGGGCGAGATGCAAGAGAGGAGAGGATAAGTGAAAACTTCATCGAAGTCATGTCTCGAAGGTGAAAAATATGCATGAGAGAAAATGAGACTAGAGGGGTACGAGGATAGTTGCAATAGATGAAGCATCAGGAGCGGGAAGCGGTCGATAGCATGATGGAAGATACGACAGTCAGACCATGGGCATAAGGAGGGAGGAGGAAAGGAGGAGGAAAAGGAAAAGGGATGGGGGGATCAACAATTAGAAGTCAGACAAGTAAAGCTTTGGCAGATTTGAGTGAAACAGAAGCCGTTCAGGATATCGCGACAAGGAAAAGCGACTCCAAGAGAGTAGAGATGATAGCTAGAAGAAACAAGGAAGATAGCCTGGGAAGCGCAACGAGGAGCGAATGTAGAACGAGGGTATCAGGTGCAGGGAAAATGCCGAAATGCAAGCAAAGCAAATCGGGATCAGGACGTTGGAGAGGGATGTGCAAGGCGATAATCAAGGAGTTGAAGATGTGGACGGAGGGAGGTAGAAGGGGCAGAGAAGGAGGAGAAGCGAGGGTGGCGGCGAGCACATGGAAGGAGGGAGGGGGGGCGGGACGGACGGGGGGGGCGGGGGGGGAGGGAGAGGAGAGGGAAGTAAAAGTGTTAAGTCGATTACGGCAGGCCTCAGTTTTTATTTATATGTTTCGAAACTGGTACACTTTAAAAACGTTTATTTTAATTTGTACGAGATGAATCCGATACTTGCTATGACCATGTACATATAAAGGTGTTTTTAAAATTAGGTAACTAATATCAAGCTTTAGTTACTCTCATGTTTTCCATATTAACTGTACAAATTTTATATACATGTAAAAATCCTGCATGACGTGGGAGGAGCGCTGGAACTGGTCCCGTGGGAGCGGAGGAGCAGGAGCCGCAGCAGCAGCAGCAGCAGCAGGAGCAGCAGCAGCAGCAGGAGAGTTGGTACAAGGACAGAGAAGGAGTGATCAGGGAGAGAAGACAGACAGACAGACAGAGTAGGTAGAGTATCCTTCACCCTTCGCACGGAAAATGGCAGGCGTCGTAGGGGAAAGAGGGAAGGACTTCGGTGACTTCAAGCGCTGGTGGGACATCTGAGGTCCAAAATAGCTTGTAAAGGGTGAGATGCAGTCAAGAAGTCCTAGCAGAACAGGCAGAAACGAATGTGTATGGACCGGAATTCTGCCATGCTGAATTGTTGGTATGCTGACTTATTTCTTTGAGGTTTCGTTGAGGGTTCTCAATCAGACTTCTGTCTCCATCAGACAACAAGCTTAATGCCACCAATTTGATTGGTTGACGTAGAACTAGAGCCTGTTGGAGGAATCCGGACTTGTCTTTTGAACCGGTATGCGGGTGAACGTCATTTAAAGAGGGAGGGGAACCGGGGGGGGGGAGCGGAGGGGTTGAAGCAAGCAAGGATTAAGATGCTCTACGCTACAAAAGCGATACTTGTTCTCACCCTGAAGTTGATGGTACTCCTTCTCCATCTAGCGTGTTGAGTTGATGGCTGGGGCAGGCGATGGGGGTCAAGGCAGACAGCACTGGCGAGCATGAATGTCGGTGGAAGTATAACCAGCTGCATTGGGACCTCACGCCTCTCATCCGACATTCGTGAGTCTCCCCCACATCCTTTATCTTGTTCAGCTACCAAGAGCTCGACTGACCGTCACTCTCAGCCCTCAGCGAGACTACCGGGTGAAGCGAGACCGGTGGGAGTTCTACCTCAATGTCTGCGCCAACACCATCAAGGTGAAGGGTCCCGCCTACTCGCCCCCAGCTCAAGTCGAGCAGGTCCCGAGCACATGCAAGCAGCAGTTCGGACCGACTGCTGAGAGATCGCCGGGATATCAAACCCTGCAACATGACGGGGAGGTTTGCGGTGTCCACTTGAGCTTGGGGCGAGCTGAGATGGGTTGGCAGACTGCTTGCTACTACATGGGGAATGTGCACACAGCAAAGTGGGGGCTGCTGGACGAGAACAACCCAGAGGACGGGGTGAAGCTGACGTACTCAGCAGGGACAAAATGTGAGGGAGGAGGGAGGCAAGTCGCGGTTCCTCTTGATGACCCAACGAGTCAGGTGATGCCAAGACTGGGAGATCGATCGAGTATCACTTCATCTGCGATCCTCAGATCGGCGTCGGGCAGCCCGTCACGTACTGCTCCTCCTCCTCAGCGCTCAAAGTGACACATCGATCAGGGTTGCGGGAGAATGTCGCTTCATGGTCATATGGCAGACTATCTACGCGTGTCCCTTCTACCCGACTCACTATCCTCGGCTCCTCTTGTGGTGCCATCCCAGCCGATGACGGCGATGACGATGACGATGACGATGCGTTTGCAGGAGTAGCGTCGCGATCGTGCTCTACTTGCTCATGGGCTTCGCATACAACATCAGAAATAACGGGATGAAGGTTTCCCTTGCTGCTATACCTCACAGGTGCTTGCTCTACTCGCTCCTCTCGTTCTCACGGCTCTCAGTTCCTCCTTCCTTGCGCTATGGGCATGGCTCAAGTACCTCGTCATGAGCCTTTTCGGTGAGAGGCTCGTCCTTGTTACATAACGTGACGCTTCCTCTTCAGGATTTTTGTTTGGAAATCGTGAAAGAGACATCGGAAGTTCAGAGGAGACTACGAGGTTGAATCCAACCCCCGTTTAACAGAACCTAGCTCATTGTTTATAAACCTCCGATAATCTCAGATCTAATTACCATCACTTGGCTCACACACACACACACAAGGTTTCTTCTATTGATCTATCATGCTACTTCAACCCTTGCCCGTACAAACTTCAGAACAAGTCTCCGCCCCATGGTGATCGCTGCACAGTGGAGTACTGCGGTTGGTTGGGAGGAGGCATGTAGCCGAAGTTTCCATCTTGAGTGGAGTATTGCGGCATGTTGACGGCGTTCATGCTGGAGTACAAGTTGCCTTGCTGATAGCGGAGGGTCAAGAGGAGAAACATGGCAGGAGAGATCTAGACCTGTCTGTTAACTTGCCAAGAAGGCTCGTTGCCTCTAGGGCTGAGGTTTCCTACCGAGATGATGTTTTGCGAAGCTTTGAGGCATGTCAGTGAGAGGCGTCAAGAACGACTATGATTACGTAGCATCATCTGCGGGCGGAACGAAGCGACTGGAGCCATTGCTGGGCTCCTCAAAAAGTTCTGCTGAAGCTTGTTCTTGCTGTCAGTCGATGAAGGGGATCAGAAGAGAGTACCAAAGGCCTCGGAATCGTTGACTGCATCTGCATGTGAGGCATGGGAGGCGGGGGGGGCATAGAAGGCATGGAGATCATCGATGGCTGCTCGATCTGTCAAGGAACAGAAGCTCAGTCAGCTGACACAAGTCGAGCAACCTGCTCGCTCACATAGTTGATGTTGGGAGAAAACGGCGGCGGCGGCGGCATCATAATTTGCTGTGGACACGATGAAATGTCAGGGGCTTCAGTGGAGGAGGCTGGGGGTCGGGGACATACGTTGGGTCTTGGCAGTTGAGGGGGCTCAGGGGGCTGGAGCAAAGGGGCGCAGTCTCGGACGACAGGGATCTGGGGAGACATGTCAGCTTGGAGGAGTTGAGACCCAACAAGATTTTCTCATGTCGTTACCACACGCTTGTCGGTGTGGATCTGAACGACAGAATGAATGGCGTCGGTAAGGAGACCCTTGATCCTATCCTCTGAGAACCCTGCTACATCCTTCCCGTCGACCTCTTCGATCAGCTCCCCGTGCTAGCAAGACCAGTCAGCACCAGCCATCGAGTCACTTGCTCTACCGTGAAGCCCACTTTCTCAGCCGATGAGCCTTTAGTCACGTTGCCGATTACGAAAGACTGAGTTGGAGAACGAGCATCAGAGTGAACATCATAGGAGCAGCTTGTTACCCCCGTCTTCTCGCCGTTGAACCATTCTTTGGGGCAAGGCTCAATGGAAAATCCAGGACTAGCGATTGTGATACCCAGTTTCTGTGAGCCTTGTTAACATGAGAAGGTCAAGGATTGCAAGGTGGCAACCTTCATTTCAATGATCTCTTTCATTCTGGCTTCCAAGATTTCCTTCTCATCAAGTTCCTTTGAATCTTCTTTGTTCTGTAGATTGATGTCAGCTGGAATGCTCATGTAAGAAGATTAAAACCTCCTCTACGTTCTCATCATCAGACCTGTTGGAAGAACGGATATATCAGGTGCACACACCAACTTGTGAACAAGAGACACTCACTTCTTGACGATAATTTTTCGAATAATCTCAACGTCGTATTCAGTATTCCGAGAAGCTGTACAAGCTTCAATGATTGCAACAAAAACTCCGAAAGATTCCAACCTGATTTCATGCGCAAGAGGACAGGGGAGTCAACAGGCCCAGGGATCTTCTGGGAGAGAGTCCAGATGTCCCAGTTGCTCACCTTCTCTCCGTTAACCTGCAGCAGGAGCTCACTTAACACTGCTGCTCCTGCTGCCATCAAAAGCTCACCTCGATGAGAACGTCGTTGAAGGAGACAAGACCAGACGTTGCTGCTGGTCCATCGGGAAAGATCTGACGGAGAGAGTCAAACAGGAGAGCAAGCGCATGGAGATCAGAAGCATGAGAGGTGATTTCATCACCTTTTGTACGTAGAACTCACGTTGCCCAGATTCCATATTGATCCGATCGGAAAAAGCGATTCCGACCTGACAGTTTGTCCTTCAATCCAAGACAGGAGCATCCCTTGCGCGGGAAAGGCTCACTCACCCCTCCTTTGGGCTTCAACGAAGACTTGTTGATAGACATGGTCTGAATCTGAGATTGAATCTCCGCGATGGTTCCGTTTCCATTGGGGAATGCGATACTTCTTGGCTCTTGGATTGTACGGACAGCCATCGGGGGAAACGACATCTCGACGAGCAGTTGAGGAAGCTGGCGATAACCTTCCATACAAGTCATGGCAGGTCATGTTATCCCATGTCACATGTCAGAACACATGCCCAAAGCATTGTCTCATTTCCCTCTCCTGCCGTTGCCTGATTTGCTGCATGCCCTTCAAAATGATCTGATGCAACCATTCTTGCTACACTTTTCTCAATTTTTCTTCTACTCAGGCTTCCTCATCCGCTGGAGGGATCTATCTTTCAGCACTCCTCTTCTCCGTCCCTCCATTTCCATCCTCTTCCTCCGTCTAAGACGACTTTCCTGTCCTCTGTTCACTGCAGAGGACTGCGCTGCCATACACGGCCATCTGAGGACATTCCGTTTCTGTGTAACGATTAGAAATTTCAAATACTTTTGAAATATTATCTCATATAATCAAATTTACAAGAAACTATTGTCAGAGCATATCGCAAAATTGAATAATTTGTGTGAAACAATCAGCCTTCACGGAAATGCCAGTGTCTGCAAGGCTCGGAATGCGGGGTGGTCCCTCATTCTCGTCCCACTCAATGAGTACCCCTTCTTTCACCTGCATTAACAAGGGTACTCCACTCAGTGACTGGTGTGCATGGGTAGGGGTATATGTCCCCACCCTCCACGCATCTGGGTATTAGAGGGGTGTAAGGGGGTCCTTCTGTAACGGCCCTATTCATATGCTACTGTGTGAATTAGCTGGGTGTCCAGGTGTTACACTGATGGACTCATCCGATCCGAGGCGAGCCCGGCGGGACTGCCAACTGGCAACACGGTCGGCCCGCCCGGCCAGGCCGGGCCGGCCCACTGCTGACGGAGACCTCTAGTACGGTGCGCCCGACTGCGGCGCCCGACTCGACAACATCATGTTGTAAGGGTCAAGCCACCTCCGAGGCTCGCCGACTCTTCCCGGAGTCCCGGAGTCCGGATTCAAAGTTTCACTGCCGACGGCGGCACTCCGGGTTTCCGTGAGCCTGTGAGTGATCGCCGGGACTCGGACTCCAAGGCTCGCCGACTCTTCCGGAGTCCGGATTCAAAGTTTCACTGCCGACGGCACTCCGGGTTTCTGTGAGCCTGTGAGTGATCGCCGGGACTCGGACTGCCTCTCAGTAAACTCAGTTGTGACTCTCGCAGCGGCCTCCTCCTCCGACCCTCCTCAGTTCTCAGTCTTGTTGCTTGAGCCGTTGCTTGAGATCCGGGATCATTCACAGGCCCGGGGCAACTCACATACCGCCGGGTCACGTTGTGAAACAAGAGTGGAGCTTCCGACTCGACTATACTATGATTAAGGCTTGGCTATAAGATCGGAACAGCCCGGCTATGAACTACTAGTCCCCGGAGTACACTTCACGACTGATGAATCTAGCTATCGGATACTATAAATAATTGAAACCAAAACTGGAGGCGCCTAGCTAGTTGTCTACCGAGCTGTATTCCAGTAGGCCCTTAGTGGACCCCCTGACCTGGGGTACCCACCCGTTCTCATTTGGCCTCTGGATGACTGCTAGTAAGGGGTCTAGAGTTCTGAAGGACCCCTACCATACCTAAAGACAGGGGACTCAACGGCTATGGCGAGCGTGGGGGAGGGTGTAGCGCTCGACAGTCAGCAATGGGCTCCCCCTCCCTCCTCTCCTCCCCACTCACCTTCTTCTCCTTCTCCTCCCTCCTCTCCTCCCCACACTCAAGTCACACATGAGCAGCTTCCGGCCAACCCCCGCAGCTCACACCACGAGCAAGTGTCAGCTCAGGAGATCTCGTCTCAAGCCTCCCCTCCACACCATGAGCCGCTGCCTCTGCACTCGGAGGCTTCGCGTCCTCCTCTGCTCATCGATGCTCAAGTGACGCTGAAGGAGATGCGCTCGTCGCTTGCGAGCTCTTTCCGAGCCGCCAAGCTTGTGGACGGCAACGAGGTCTTGTCGGAGAAGCTGCGAGGACGAGCGGCCGCGGAGGCAACAGGAGACAACGGGGATGGCCTGATGACCGTCATTGCCTTCGTGGAGGCGCTGGCCGAGCTGGGAGTAACAGCGAGGAAGCGGCATGTGCGAATGATTCTGAGTAGCTCGCGGTTCTCAGTGGGGGGGAGGGTGCGGGTGGAGGAGTTGCTCAAGGAGATGAACGGGAGCGAGTGGTGGCCGTCACGGGAGGCGATGGCGTCTGAGGCCATCGATCGTATTGCCGACAATATTGAGAAGCAGCAGGGGCAGAACTTGTCGCTCTTCGACATGTCCGCGAGAGACGCCCAGCTCGACGAGGAGGCGTCCAACGACAAGTTCAGCAAGCTCATGAACATCATCAAGACGAACCCCAGCGCTGAGGCTACTGAGTTCCTCGCCCTCTTCGATCCCGAGGCAGACAAGAAAGCGAACCGCGCAGAAGCAGGGATACAAGACGGGATACAGAAGAAGGAAGAAGGAGGGGTACAGAAGAAGCAAGAAGGAGGGGTACAGAAGAAGGAAGGAGGGATACGGAAGAAGGGGGAAGCAGGGATACAAGGAGGGATACAGAAGAAGGAAGAAGGAGGGGTACAGATCCAGGAGGAAGGAGGGGTACAGATGAAGGAAGAAGGAAGGGTACAGATGCAGGAGCAAGGAGGGGTACAGACGCAGGAGGAAGGAGAGGTACAGAAGAAGGAAGAAAGGGTACAGACGCAGGAGGAAGGAGGGGTACAGAAGGCGGGGAAGGAGGGGTACAGAAGAAGGAAGGAGAGGTACAGAATGAGGCAGGAGGTGTTCAGAGTGACGAGGAAGGAGGAATACAGAAGGAGGGGAAGGAGGGGTACAGGGGGAGGAGGAAGGAGGGGTACAGAAGCAAGAGGAAGGAGGGGTACAGAGGCCGGGTCATACGAAGAAGCGACAAGGTGCGAGCATGGAGAAAGCCTCCAAGTCTGGAGGCAATCCTTACCAAGGCAAGAATCCTCTGCTCGAGAGCAAGAGCAAGAGCACAGGCTTGTCAGCTCTCCAAGTGAGCTCCAGCGGAGACTTGGGTGGGCAGCGTGCCCGTCGCTTCTCGAGCAGCAGGGAGCGAGCGCTGGTGTACTCCAAGATGCTCGACCTTGTCTCAGAGCCCCTGAGGGTGAAGCGACTGAAATCCTACAAGTCCAACTGGAGGAAGGAGCCGCGGCCAGCACTCGCCATCGAGTATCGCAAGTGGGACAACCTGAACGAGCAGGTCGCGGGCTGGACGCCAGCGCTCAAGTACCAGGCGAGAACGCCAAGCGAGTCCTGGGTGCAGATCACATCGACGGCACCGTTCAAGATCGGATCTCGCTTGTCTGCTCCTCCTCCGCTCCCTCCCGGGCCTGAGCCGATGACCGCCAACTCGATGCTGAATCAGTCGCTCAAGGAAGACCGGAAGAAGTCCAAACTCGTGCTCAAGGGCACCGAGACGGCGAAGCTCTCTCGGCGATACGTATCCCAGGGCCTCTATGAACGAGCTCTCAAGTGCGCGGAGCAGAGCGTCGAGTGTTTCCAGCAGGCAGGGCAGCAGGGGCAGGCGAGCGCGGTCTTACACCCCCTGCCGTACGTGCAGGAGCTGATCAAGCTCAGCATGGACCGGATGCTCTCGAGCGCCCAGGAAGCGCTGAATCGCTTGGAGTTCGACAAAGCCTCCTCCTACATCCCCCGCCTGCTGAGCGCGTGCGAATGGCTGGACCAGAGGGGGGTGGTGTACCCCGCAGCCAAGGAGCTCTCTACGCGACAGCTGAGGCTGGGGATGCGGGGCCAGGGGATGCCGCAGGGACGGGAAGCCATCGGAGTGCTGGCTGACCTCATCCTCGACAAGACCTTCGCCAAGGCCTCCCAGCTCGAGACCGACGCGCTGCTGCGCTACTTCGCCAACCTCAACCCGAGGGAGGTGGACGAGGAGGAGCTGGCGGCGCTGGAGGAGGAGCCGGATAAGGTGTTTGTGAACCGCCTGCCCGAGCAGCTGGTGTGTGACGGGAGGACGTACGTGCTCGTGATCGACCTCAAGCCCGCGGTGCTCCCGGACACGCTAAGCATCGGCATGCAGATCGAAGTGCGGGGGGTGCGGACGCTTAACTCCGGGTACCAGGACGAGGGGAGGACGTGGAGGAGCGGGACAGTGACGGGATGGAACGGGAGGGCGTCCAAGTACAAGGTGCAGTACGCGGACGACAGCGAGTGGGTGTCGTGGCCGAGTGAGTTGCAGATCGATATGGACACGTCGCTCGAGCATGTCGTCATCGACATCGACGACATCGAGGTTCGCAGCTACACGCGGATCGCTCGGGATGCGGAGAAGAAGCGAGCGGTCGTGAGCTTCATTCCAGTCCCTCACTTCTCCGAGTTTCCTTCGCGCTCGTTCGGGTCCAAGAGGGTGAGGATGTACCGGTTCAAGACGGGGGAGAACCTCCTAGCCGACAAGCGAGCCTCCGTCATGCTCCTCCCTCCCGTCTGCCTGAAGCCTGCCGCCTCCTACGCCTTCTTCAACGCCCTCAGCAACGAGCCGCTTCCCGACGCCTCCATCGAGTTCACCAACCTCTCGACCAACACCCGCCACGTGTTCCGCGAGGGAGAGCAAGTAAGCCTCCCCTCCGAGGGCGTCTACAAGACCATCGCGCGAGCGTGTGGGGGCAGCGGGTACCCCTGGACGTCGTTGATGTGGCATACTGTAAACTATGAGGAGAAGTGGGGGGAAGGGGAGGGCGAGCAGAAGCTCTTCTTCAGCAGGCACCTCAAGAGCAAGCGACAGCTCCGCGTCCTAGTCTCTTGGCGCTCCAGTCACGTCCTGCTGGACTCGCACGTGTACACCAGCGCGAGTGACCACGTGAACTGGGCGAACTCTGGGGTGAACGTGAACGGGATTATGATAGAGAACGACTCGATGCGAGCCAACGGGCCTGAAGTGACTCTGATCCGAGTCAAGAGCCACCACTCTTACCTCTTCTCCCTCTCCTGGGCCACTGACATCCCTGGTTACCAGCAGCAGCCCAGCTGGTCTCTAGCAGCGCCCAAAGTTTCCTTGTACGATACCAACGGTCTGTTTGCGGCGTTTGTTCTGCCGGAAGCGTCGGAGGAGGAGGACGGGCACTGCTGGTGGCATGTGTTCGCCATCAACGGCAACGAGTGGGACAGACCCTCCCACGGCCTCACGCGACTGAACGCGCTCTCGCCGGAGGAGATGCCTCAGGTGACGTCGCGGTTGGCATGAGAATGGGGGAGCATGACTGACTCTTGTTGCTCTCAGCTCGCGGTTCCTGCCTTCAACATCGTGGAGCATGCGGAGGAAGCTTGTTGGAGGCTCTTCATCCAGGACGTCAACCACATGCTGCTGGGCAAGCCCTTCGACTTCCCCGTCCTCAAGCCCAGGGAGCCTGCGGACGTCTCTTCCATCCGAGGATGCACGCTGCTAGGCCTGCTGTGCTCCCACAACGAGGGCCGAGAGTCCTCCCGTCGAACCTCTTGGTACGATGACGAAGCAACGGTGGACGATCACCTCGCAGCTCTACGAGTACGTGCCTTGTGCCCTTGCCTTGTCTTGCCTTGTCTTGTCTTGTCTTGTCTTGTCTTGTCTTGCCTTGCCTTGCCTTGTCTTGTCTTGTCTTGTCTTGTCTTGCCTTGTCTTGTCTTGCCTTGCCTTGCCTTGTCTTGTCTTGTCTTGTCTTGCCTTGTCTTGTCTTGTCTTGTCTTGCCTTGTCTTGTCTTGCTCAAGGCGTCTGCAGACGTTCATCAAGTGGACCACGGAGGAGCGACGCGACAAGGTAGCTGGAGGGTCAGCATGGCGAGCAGCCTGACAAGCGAGCAGACCTCATCGGAGCTTGACGGGCTGCCGTCGGAGGCAGTCTTCTCCAGGGAGTGTAGGATCCTGGGCGTCACAGACTGCTTCATCTTCCGAGCTGTTTCCACCTGCACTCCAGCTGTGGCTGTCGAAGTTCTCAGCATCCTCGGAAACGTGGTCAAGCGACCGAACGGGTGCGGCCTGAAAGAGCTGGGAAGGCGGTGACGTCATCGTGCAGGGCCTTCTACCGCACCTTCTTGAGCGAACATGGCGAGCTCCTCCTCGATCACTGCATCAGGTTCCGGCCTCCACAGACCATGCTCAAGGTGGGAATAGGAGGTGGCAGTGGTGTAGAATGAGGAGGAGGAGGAGGAGGAGGAGGAGGAGGAGGAAGGGCATGTTGCAGCTGCTGATACCTACGGCAGATCTTGCAAGCACTGCAATCCATCGAAGCGATTGTGGAGCGAAGGAGCAGCAAGAGGGTGATGAGGAGAGACGTTGTCTCTGTGGAGTGGCCTCCCTCCTCCTCCCGCTGGTGCTCGGCTACAGTCTACCGCGTCCACAAGGACTCGTGCCAGGTGCTCGCCCCTCGGATCTGACTTGCCCAGTAAGTCCGTGGCAGGTGCTGCTGATGGATGCGGAGGGGAGGAGGAGCTCGGCGACTCAGAGCGGCTCGCTGGAGGAGGTCGGGCAGGAGCTCGTGCATGACGACCTGGTCGCTGCCGAGGTTTGCCCCCTCTTGCTCTCCCTTTGCTCCCTCTTGCTCTCCCTTTGCTCCCTCTTGCTCTCCCTTTGCCCCCTCTTGCTCTCCCTTTGCCCCCTCTTGCTCTCCCTTTGCCCCCTCTTGCTCTCCCTTTGCTCCCTCTTGCTCTCCCTTTGCTCCCTCTTGCTCTCCCTTTGCTCCCTCTTGCTCTCCCTTTGCCCCCTCTTGCTCTCCCTTTGCTCCCTCTTGCTCTCCCTTTGCTCCCTCTTGCTCTCCCTTTGCTCCCTCTTGCTCTCCCTTTGCTCCCTCTTGCTCTCCCTTTGCCCCCTCTTGCTCTCCCTTTGCCCCCTCTTGCTCTCCCTTTCCCTTCACTGACCAGCCCCCAGCTCGTCTCTGTTTCTCTCAGCCGCATACGCTGGATCAGCCCGGCGCTCATCCGGGCCAAGACTCTACAGCACAAGTTCGTCCTGCCCTCCTCGCATGCTTCTCATGCTTGACCGGCCTCGCAGGTTCTCGCAGAAGGTGAAGGGGATGGACATGTCGCACAGCACAGGCTTCCTACGCGAGCACAAGCAGACCATCAAAGCAGAAACTTGCTACAAGAAGGCCGTCGCCCTCCTCTCGGAGTCAAGCTCCGGCTAGGAGGGGAGCCGGTGATGGGGTAGAAGGGGAGAGACTGGAGACTTGTAAAGACCTTGATGGGATACACAAAGAGACGAAAGACTAGTCGGGGTTCACACCTTCACCCCGAGAGTCTCTAGCTTCGTAGGAGGAGTCGGCTGAGTCGGCTGAGTCGGAAAGTTCTGCAGAGATTGTCAGAAGCTGGTGGTGCAGGGGAAGGGCGAGAAACGGAGAGGGAAGGGCAAGGGCAACACGAGGATGAGCGAGAGAGAACATGAAGGAGGAAGGATGCGGGAGAGGGACCTGTCCATGGATGATGTTGCCTTGAGCATCGATCATGTTCTCTCCTGACCAGCCACTACATTGCAAACGTCAGCTACGTAGCGAGCAAACGCCGCGACAGACCGAGAAGGCGTCGCTGCATCGGTGAACGGCTCTCCTGTCCGCTGGATGTCGGAGCGAAACGTCAGCCCCTTGTCCACAAGATCCTGTGGCTCGGTGGCCACATCACCAAGCCCCCACACGTTCTGCATGTACTAACACTGTTAGTGGAGAAAGGGGAGCGAAGGTAGAGAAGAAGGCAGGAAGGACGAAGATGAAGAAGGAAGGCAGGGGGAAAGCAAAAGACGAGGGAAGGGAAGTCAAGGCAAGACCTTCTCGTAAGTTTCCTTGTTCTTGTTGTGGTGGTAGGCGAGTGTTCCGGAGTCTCCGAAAAGCAGCTTGAGGTTCTTGGTTGAGTTCGCCTCCCAGTCAGCAAAGTGATCATGATCTGGCGTGCGCAGCTCGTCATGCTGTGCCTCGATTTGCTTGGCATACTCCTGCTGGGGAACGAAGTTGTCACCCAAGAGCTGCGCGTCTTTGCTGGAGTTCCAGAAGCGACCCAGCAGGAGCTCTTTGTTCTCCTTGCCATCGGGATCCCACCCCTGCGACTTCATCGCGTGATTCTGGTAAGCCCACGGCGAGTCCGGCATGGACCCGTAGTCCCACTTCTTCGCTTCTGCTGGCTGCGCGTGGTCCTTGCCGTCTCTTCCCCACTGGTGCTTCGTGGATCCCTCGTTCATGTAGGCAATGGAGTTGACATTCACTCCTCGGCTAGCGAGCGGCGAGTCGTTGTCTTGATGCTTCCCGGCTGAGAAAGGTGTCGCCTCGAACGCAGGCAGCGTTCCGTTCATCCCCTGCACAGTCTCGAGCCCCTCCATGTCATCAGCCTTGTGCTCCTCGGCGTTCCAGGGGGCAGGGAAGTTGGAAGGGTTCAGCACGGAGTCCTTCCATCGTACGAAGTTGTCGGTGAAGTCGCGAGTCATCTCCCTGCTAATCGAATCTGACACCTTCTGCCCCGTGGTCGCCGACTTGGGGAGGTCACGGAGGGGAGCGAGCGAGGGGTCCAGAGGCGTGCGGACGGTGGGGCCCAAGGGAACTCCGATGCCGTTGCCCATGACAACCATCGTATGGTTCGCTGCCTCCCAATCCTTCACGTCCTCTGGGACATACCGCACCCGACAGTCCGTGCCAACACATGCCTTGACGTGCTTACCCGCCAGTTTGACTTGCTTCACGCTGCTAAAGGGTTTGCGCTTTGACAACTTCACTTGAGCAGGAGATTCAGCAGACGGAGAGGTGAGGCTGGAGTCAGGAGACAAGCTCTTGAACGATCTAGAATAATCCCCTGCTTTGATCGATTCCTTCATGGCAAAGATTCTAGCTTTCCGTGCCTCCATCTCTTCTCTCAGAACTTTGTTCTTCAACTTCTCATTTTCCAGCAGAAGTTTCGCGTTCTGAATCTGAATCACGCGATTCCTCTTCGCCTCCTCTGCAAGCCTCTTGGCCTTCCTTTCGCTCAAGACGTACCTCTCCTCTGCTTTCTCCTCTTGTTCCAGCAGTCGGTCCTCCTTCTGGAGCTCTTGGTTCTTCTGCTTCATGAGAGTAGCCTGCTGTCTGATGTAGGCCACCGTCACATCCTTGAGAATCGTAGTTTCCTTGTTCCGCAGGAGAATGAAGCAAGTGCATACCAGAGCGATCATCAGGGCAAGAGATGCGAACGCCCATCTTCGTGGCATGTTGAAGGTGGACGACATGCTGGCTAGAGCTGAGATTTCCTCTTCCTCTTCCTCTTCCTCTTCCTGTTCCTGTTCCTGTTCCTCTTCCTCTACTGCATGAGGCTGCCGCGAAGGGTCACGATCTCATACAGCACAAACCCTCCCCTGTGAAAAATAAACTTTCTTTCCAATATCTTTCCTCAAATTTGAATTTTCGCATAAATATTGAAATTGTTAAAATGTGATGAGGCGGACCCACTGGACAAGTACGAAGATGAACTGCAACTTCACAGTAACGTGAGATCTAAAGGATGAGATGAATGAGGCAGATGAAGAAGAGTATGGCAGAGAGATCGCAGAGAGATGATGATTCTTTTCACTTCCATTTTCATTTTAAGAAGCTTTGCAATCTGAAAATTAGTTTGAGACTGAATATAAATACAACTTCACTTATGTTCTGCAGCTGATGTGCTGTTTCCTTAGATCAGGAGCGATTACTCCTTCCCAACGCCCGCACACGCGGTCAGCATCGTAGCCATCGACTCCTTCCGCATGCGCAGAGCTGCTTGTGCCTGTCGCTCAATCAGACGAGAAAGAGCAGAGGATAAGATTGGAACCACCTCTGTGACTTCCTGGAACATGGACTGGAACTTGGGCCTGATGCGGACAAAGTGAGTAGGTGAAGAGAACGAGAGAGAGTGGGGCGGGGAGAGGGAGAGGGAGAGGGAGAGGGAGAGGGAGACACCTGAGCTGATCGTTGTCTTGGTCCAGCGCTGCTAACATCTCTACCAGCCTCTTCTTCTCAGCATTCTTCACATCCATCCTAAGAAATCTTCACCTTGCACCACTCACTTCACCTTCTCCTTCACCTGCTCTTTCTCGCAAGATCTTCCGGACTCAGCTCAGACACTGTGACACCACCACCAGCTTCCGGTTGCGACGCGATCATGCTCTGAAGTCGCGCAAGTTTGTCTTCGAGATCAGCTTGGAACACAATGACACCAAACTCCTCCTGCAGGAATCTGATCAAACAAGACTGCAAGACGGTAAGAGATGCACACCTCGGTATTGCTCCTTGTCATGGAGATAAGTTGATTGTAAAGTTCAAAGAGATAGTCGCGATGTTTGGTTGAACATTCTTCACCGAATTCCTCAAGAAACGTTTCGAAAGGAATCTCCTCGAACGTCTTATCTAGAACCTTCTTGAACGCCTGATGCGATTCAGTAACAAGCTCAGGCCTTGGCGTCCTAACTCACCTCGTGAAGACGCCGTAATCGAATCCGCAAGTCTTGTGGCTGGCTTGGCATACCCACACTTCAACTGCACAGGGCATTTGAGCATAAAGCGACAATGTCATAGACATTGTCTGTCATGGAAACGATGGCTTCTATTCTGATGTGGATACAAATGCTAACTCAAACATACATCTCTATGTGCGTGTACTGAAGATGAAATTTGACGAAAAAGAAAAGCTTTGGTTCTGATATCATTCTTCCTATAACCTCTACTTCACAATAGTTTTTGTGTCTGCTAGCTCAGATTGATGTGATTCATCTCGTGCATTCGACTAGCAACATCCAGGCTGCGTGTGTAGAAACATTTCAAACATCAAATGCAACGTATATTCAGCTGTCTCCGTCGTCTCGACACTATCTTGATCTCCTGATCTTTCTCATCTTCCTCCTCCATTTCTCGCAAAAATTCAATGCTCTGTCCCCTCGATCTTTCTCCCGCCCTGCATGCCTCTACCCACCATCGTCATGTTTCTAGAACTCCTCTCAACACTGATCTTGTCCTGTTGAGTTGCTCAGTCATATCTCATGCAATGCTCATCTCACTTATCTCGTCTCATTTCCTCATCACTCTTCACCTCTCTTCTTCTCTCACTTCCTTGCTCATATCGCTGGCTCTCGCTCTCTTCCACTTCCCTCCATTGAGCCCTTCAGCATTTCGCTGTTACGATTCAAATCTTCTTGTCACCCCACCCACCCCACCCTACCGACAGTGTATGATTGACATATCACCCCCCTTAAATCCACTATTTGTTACCACAAAGTCCATGGGGGGGTTTGAAGAATTCTCTACCCCCACCCCCATTTTGTTTTCCGAAGGTAACCCTCTGTACCCCCGAAATCTTTCACCCTACCCATTCCTGGAAGTCAGTATCGACTGTGATGGAGGGGTCATGTGAGAGGGAATGTGACGACAAAGAGGGGTAGGGGTAGAGACGCTGTAGGGACGCTGAACTAAACCTCTGAACAAAATGGCAGAATGGCGGGAATGGTGCGAGAAAAATCCAACCAAGAATGCAGAGCAGAGCAGAGCAGAGCAGAGCAGAGCAGAGCAGAGCAGAGCAGAGCAGAGCAGAGCAGAGCAGAGCAGACAGCAGACAACAGCAGACAGCAGACACCAAGATCAATGGAAGAGTAGAAAGAAAGTGAAAGGGAAAATAAACATAGAAATCGAGATCAAGCGAAGAGGAAGAGGTTGTCCCATAGGCAAAGGCGCTTTTCATGCAAAGGATGTATGGACAAGGATACAATGCCCTATTGAAGTTTCGAGGAGGAGATGGCGAGATGATTGTATGTAGCACCATCGTATGAATCGTTTTGATGATCTTTTTGTTGATTCATGCTCATAGGCCATGGCATGGAACGCCGGACCAGCCATGATTGCCGTCAACAAGGAAGGCTTGCAGGGCAGGTGTGGAGTAGGCGGCGGTGCGGCATGGAAGAGAGTTGCTGGCAAAGTAGACAGCCGCATGCATGCTCGAGGAAATTTATATGCGCAGCAAGACCTTGGGAAAGTGAGAGACGAGGAGCAAGAGCAGTACTTTGGCGACGGATGGGGCAAGGGACACGCGTGGCCTGAAGGGGGACAACACAGGAAAGAGAGTTTCCAGAGAAATGCAGGATGGATTTATGATGGAAGGAGTACCAAGGAGGAGGGAGGTGGTCACGGTGCTGCGGTGGAAGAACAACCCGCCGTCGGAGCACGAGCGATCCTGCAGGTGTTCCGCAGCATGCAAAAGATGCCTGGCGAGATCAGAGTGGGGCACACGTGAGGACTGAGAGGGTTCGCTACTGTGAGGTGACGGAGATGCTGTAGATTTACCATGGGAAGAGACAAGGGATGCAGCGTGCCGTTGGACTGGGATGGAGTGTCGCGGCATCACCTCACGATTCAGGTCATTGGCCCGCAAAGAGGCTGCAGCTAGTCGTGCGAGTGACAAGTCGACAGGCGTTGGAGTCACCAGACGAGGCAATCCGATGGTCTCTCAGTGAGGAGAGATACCTCACAGTAGTGATACATCCTTAGGTTCATTCTCTCCCATGGAACTAACGGCACCTTCGTGAACGGGAAGAAAATCGCAGATTCTTCCCAGTGGTTGTGTTGAATCCACACCCGATTGTCAGCTCTGACCTGTTTGTAACTTCAGTGCCCTGAAAGACGGGGATGTAATTGGTCTTGGAAAGGGAAGGTGAACTCGAGCATCGCTGAACCTCAACAAGTAACCTCTCCTCACAGGATAGTCAAAGTTGATGGACGCATCGAAGAGAAAGAATTACTCTATCAGGTAGCCGGTCGACCACAAAGAAGAATTCTTTCTCGATTGTTGAGAGCTGATCGTTCTTCTTTCAAATACCAGTTTGTTTTCCGCAACCCTTTTGAGAACAACTCATCCTACGTTCCACCGCAAAACGGCCGAGTATACACGACGCCAGGTATTCTCTCCTCTACTTTCACGATGCGTATCTGATTCATCTCATCAGCTTCATCTCAAGACGACGACAAGGGCGAGATCAACTTTCCTTGTAAATCTGCTGTCTTCCAGCCCTCCTGGTGAGAGAGGCTGTTGCATCCGTGCAGAACTTACCTGTAGCAGGTACAAGAATATAAAGACACCAGGCAGGAGTCTCAGGTTGCAAGATTACGAAATCGAGTCACCGCGTTGTTTACTTCCTTCCAGCAACTTGCGCCTTGAGCTGGACTACGTTTACAGCTTCTCAAGTGGTGGACGGTTGTTCTAGAGACCAGTATCCCCGGCAGTGACGATCCTCGCAGGGACCCCGCGGATGTTCGCAGCAACGTCAAGTACTTGATTGATGGGAGGATCGTTTACCCCGCCGGGTCCATGGGTGTCGTCTTCGACCCCATCTCAAACACGCAGGTGAAGTCGCATGTGACATCACGTGGAGGGTGACACGGAGGTTTCAAGGAGTACTTCACAGACCATGACGGTTTCATCAATGTCCTAGCGTTACATCCAAACAAGGTTGGAGGCAACGCCGCGCGAGCGGGTTTCTCAGCTCGATCCTCGGGGCTGACAAAGGATGCAGAGGATCGTAGCAACGGGAGGAGTCGCCACCTGGTCGAGAAGAACAGTGAGGTCGAATGCAGCGAAAAAGTCTCGTGACGGGATGAGCAGGCAGAAAATAAGCCCAGCGTCAGCATCTTCGTGTGGGACTCTTGTGGGCCAGGGGGTAAACCGACACGGATCAGCAAACCCTTCGCGAGGCAGCACGAGGCGTCGCTGCAGGTGCCTCACTGCTTCTTCATGGCCGACGCTCACCGCGTCTCCTTGCAACGCAGGCGATGTCGTTCTCGACGTCAGGAGAGAAGCTGGTGACGGTTGGAGGCGACTCGAAGAACAAGTCTCGCGTCATCGTCTATGAGGTTATTGGTTGCCGTCAACTCTCGAGGGGCGTGTTGACGTGGGTTGGCTGTAGTGGGTGAAGGGGATCGTGCAACCCGGCATTGTGTACGAGACGTCAGGTACCTGCTGGGCCCCGCCCGCTCCCTCTCATCGCCCTTGTCATAGAGATTGGCATCATCAAGACTGAGATGGGACTTGCCATCATCCCGTCTGGCGGACAGGCAAGACTGATCCTCCTTGTCGTTATCCTGACCTACAACAGACCACATGGTTGCTTGAACACAATCCTTTTGTGCTGGAATCGAAGAAGAAGCTCTCAGATGATGTTATGTCTGCTCAAAGGAATGTGTGAGTTCCTTTCAATCAGAGCTGAACGCTCCTCTCATATCTTCCTCAGCTACTGGGACTCTCCTCCGATCTTCGATGAAGACGGCTTGCACTTTGCACAGGTACAGCTTGACTCTCCATTGTTGACCTAGAAAGTCACCCGAGACTGTCAGACTGTCGATCGTCTGAGTAGAGTCTGGAACTACAAGAAGGTTGGCCCCTCTCGCCGTCGTTTAATCTGAACTCCAGCAGTTCCACAAAGACCCGACCAAGTCGATGGTCACGATGGGAGGTACCAGGAGGGGTTTCCCTTGACTTCTAGCTGATGCTTGCGACAAGGCGTCATGACTCCCCAGCGCGCTTACTCGATCGCCTGGATTCCTCCGTCTTGGTTCCCTTCCAGTCAGGCTCCTCTCAAGGCTGTTCCTGCCATGGGGCTCCAACTCGGCGACATCTTCATGTTTGACAAGGTGCCAGACACGTTCGCCTGCTGGAGTAGCTGAAGTGATGCTGGACAAGGTTGGCTCGGATTACACAGTGATTCACAAGATCGAGCAAGCTCACTCGGGCGAGGTCGTGAGGGCTGAGCTGGTTTAGCCAAGTCGACTGACGGGCGAGCAGATTCTTTGTCTCCGATTCATCGTCAAGGAGTCGACGGCAGCTGTGAAGATTCTGAGAGCTTTCTGAGCTCATTTGACCCAGTATGGCAGGAGATCGAGGAGAATGGAATCTTTCAATACCTGCTGAGGTCTGTCCTGCCCCTCTCCCTCCAGTCTCACACTTGCTGCCAGCGGAGGCCGCGACGGGAAGATCAGGGCGTGGGACGCGAAACTCTCATGGCGTGAGCCGGTAGGAAGCGGATGAGGCAGGGCCAGGGCTGAGATCTTTGATGGGACAGGTGATGGAGGTGGACCTGAGGGATGTGGTCGAAGATGGCCTCGAGAGCGTCGTAGCTGTTCGCTCGCTGGACTACAACCCGAGGTTGCAGAGTGTTACAGAAGTCTGAGAGTGTAAAAGAGTTTCAAGGACAAACAAGCTGATCGCTGCTACAAGTATGAACTCAATCTTCGAGATCGACCTCTCGGTCTTGCGGGTATCTCTTGCCTTCCTTTGCTCCACGTCTGCTCAGACATGGACTGGTAGGAGCGAGGATGGCAGTGGCCCTTCGACGCGTGCAAGAGGGTGATGAACTCTCACTTCGGAAGGTGAGGAGGAAGGAGATTGCTCCGCAGCTCACTGCTTGTTCAGTGTGGAGAGCATCGCCAGGTGGCCATCAGGTGACAAGGCAAGGCGCAAGTTTCATGCAGCCAGCACCTCGCGGGACGGGTTTGTGAGGATGTGGGACTGCGAGGCGAGGACGGAGAGGCTGAACAGATGTAAGACGAGAGAGGCTCGGCGATGCCTGACGGCTGCGACAGACATGGGCATGCCCGGGCTGTCCATCGACGTGTCAAGTGAGTGCCTTGACGAGCCCGGGACCTCTGAGGCGCTTCAGGTGACGGGAGTCTGATCGCCGTCGGCCACCCGGGCGGTCAATTCACCGTGTGGGAAATCCATGAGGAGAGGTGAGAGCGAACCGCTTCTTCCTCCCCTTCGCCCTTCTCCTCAGTCTCCTCCTCCTCTGCTTCCTCTTGAATCGATACTTCCTCCCCTTCGCCCTCGTCCTCAGTCTCCTTCTCCTCAGTCTCCTTATCCTCTTCTTCCTCTGCTTCCTCTGCCCTAACAGCATGCGGGGCGGCTAGACTGCAGTGCATCTATCACAACCGGAGCCTTGAGATGGACTGCACGTGCTTGAAGGCAAGGGGCTCCCGCATTTGGGCTGCTACTGACGTCACTCCCACAGTTCTCGCCTGACTGTAAAATCCTTGCGGTGAAAGACTCGCGATAAGATTGAGAGGCTGAAAGGTGTCAGGTAATCTCCGGCAGAAGACAGATCCATACCTTCGACTGCATTCGATATTCTGTTCCTGCCCCTCAGGTGCCTCCCCCTCCTCCTCCTCGTCTGCTCTGACCTCTGGAAGGGTCAAGAGGAAGTGTACTTTGGAGATGGAAAGCTGAAGGAGCGGGAGAAGCAGCTGCGGGAGAAGAGACACGTGGAGTCGAAGAGTGTGTGGAAGAGGAACTGAGTTATCGCAGGTGTACATGCTCGCTCACAAGGGAAACGAGAACAAGACGGCACCTAAGTCGACCTTCTCTTGCCCTTGTTGCATCTGCCACCTGATGCCTCCAACACAGAGCTGTGAAGTTCGTGGGGAGCAAGTTGAAGCCCGAGCCCTTTGCCGCCGGGCTGATCCGAAACCCTCCGACGGGTAGACGAGGGCGACAAGGAGGAGACACTGAGATGATTCAGATGGTATCGTGCACAAGATTGGAGCGAAGCATGAAGCTCCACGTGCTGACGCGCTGAAGCGACAGCTGCCAGGTACCCTTGCTCCTCTCTGCTTCTCGTCTTCCGCCTTGAGCTTGTCGTCTCCCTCCTCTCCTTGCTCAGTATTCAAGCACCTCTGCTCCTCCGTCGGCAAGCACGCCACCACTATCACCAACATGGACTTCTCTGCTGATAGCAGACTGCTTCGAACCAGCGACAACTCAGGTTCCCTTCCCCCTGTGACTTCCAGTCCTCCATCCTCTCGCAGGAGAACTTCTGTACTGGAACGTCGCAAACTTGACCAGCATCTCCCGTGCCGGCGACCTGCGGGACGTGCGATGGGCGAACTTTTCGTAGCTCCTCCTCTGCTCTCCTCCTTCAAACCTGACACGCTTGGCAGCGTCCCCTTCATGTGGGAGCTGAAGGGGATCTGGGAGGGGAGCAGCAAAGTGAGTTCTCCCTCCCCTCTGATCAGACTGACAAGCTCCCGCAGCCCAGTAACATCTCTGTGGTCGATGCTCAGCCACAGCTGGGGGTGGCGGCCGTGGCACTTGAGAACCACCAGGCTCGTTCGCCTCTCCTGCTGTCGCCCAGCTCACCCGCCTGCTCCAGGTCGCTCTCTGCGGCTTTCCGTGTCGTGACAAGATGGAGGAGAGGCAGCGGTACGGAGGGCATGGCTCAGGTAGGCTGGACCAGCTCCTCCGCAGCTGAAAAACAGCTGGGCAGTGATCCTGGGAATGACCTTCACCAACGACAGCAAGTTCCTTCTGACTTGCGGGAGGTAACGAAGAGCGAATGCGCTGGCTGACTGTGACGCTGACCTCCGATAGTTTGGACAACTGCGTGCTGCAGTGGCGGGTGAAGGAGGGCAGGTCAGCCTCGACTCTTCTCATTGTCTTGTGCTCCTTGACATGACAGCAGAGAAGGGGAGGGGGGATCACACCCCTCACGTCGGGTAAGCTTGTCCTGCTTCCTTGTTCGGAGCCCCTTCAGTCCCCTGCCGCTCTCACCTCCTCTCCTTCCATCCATTGCCGTCGTTCGCTTTCTTTTCTCGTTTCCTCTCTTCGCCTTCTCTTAAAAATTTCTCCTCCCCTCCCCTCTCCCCTCTTCTGTCTTGCTCTCATCTCTTCTCTTCCGCTGTTTGTTCTTAGAACTCCAAGGCTGAGGGAGACGGACAGGTCAACGTTCGAGCTGGAGCCTCTTCTTTCCCCATCCTCACCAGGGCGGATGACTAGGAAAAGAGGGAGGGAAGGGGGATGTAGGAAACAAGAGTTCTAATGCTACATTTATGCTCATAGCTACGAGCCATCCTCTCCCCTCCTTCCTCTACGCGCATCCTGCAATGGTTTCAGCCAACCGCGTCACGATGAGCTGGACGGCGTCATGCTGGCGCTGCAGCTTGGCGGCGTCATCGATGAAGGAGCTGTGAAAGTTTTGAGCCTCCTGCTCTCGCGCCTCGAACACGCCCCCCAGCTGCTGCCTGACCATGTCCTTGGTCTCCACCTCGTTCTTCGCGTCGTCCCTCGCGTCATACAGCTCGACCAGCTTCTCCTCCCACTCCCTCATCGTCGCCTTGTTCTGCTCCAGCGCTGACTGCATCCCATGCATCTGCTCCTCGATCTCTTGCAGCCTCGTCGCAATCTGCTCCTGCAGCTGATGCACCACCTGCAGCATGCTCGTCGCCGTGTCGCTGCTCGAGCTCGCCAGGATGCTCTTGAACTTCTCGACTGTCTGCGCGAGCTTCGCGTTTCCTGCAGGGGGGACAAGAAGCAGAATTTTCTTCTTGGCTTCCAGCAGGACGTTAGCTGGGCTCTGCTTTGATGACGCTGACGAGAGGGTCTGGATCAGCTGAGCGACCTCGTCGAGGATCGGCTTCTCCGCCTCCAGCTGACTTCTCTCCTCGTCGTACTTGGGCTTCAGCTTCGCCAGGTTCGCTTCCCCGGTCGTCACCGAGGATACGTACAACTGGTACTGCGACTCAGCATATGCAGCTGCTTCCGCCGCTGCCTCTTGCTTCGCAGCTGCCGTTCTGTACCCAGCCTGTGCCTCCAGCCACTTGCGCTTGGCACCTGACAATCAGCTTGAGCATCATCACAAGACTTGGCGGGCCAAACCCTCAGCAGCAAGGCTCAGTTGCTGGTCCCGCTCGTAGAGGGTACTGTTCTCTTTCTATCGAGCAGATAAGAGCGAAGGGGAGGGAGACAAGGGAGTACCGTGATGTTCGCTTGCAGCCCGATGAAGGTGTTCTCAATCAGCTCATACTTGTCCTTCATCGCGCAGTTCGCCTCCAGCATCGTGCCTGCACTCAAAGGAACGTGACGAGATAAAGAGAGCCACTGAAGCCTCTCACTGGCTGAGGGGCGGCGGATCAAGGAGCTGAGGAGCAACTTCGACTGCTTGGGAAACCTCTGAGACCGTCACGTCAGCCGAGTGGGGAAGAAGAGCCTCTCAAGAACGAGCCTGCAGGACTTGCTTCTCAACCTCCCTCTCCATCTCCTTCCTCGCAAACTCCTCCTCCAGCTGGTGCAGCTGCAACCCAGTCACAGACATGATAGCTCGCAGCTCTGGTGTAAAAGAGTTGTGGGATCGTCATCCTCCTACCTTGGAGGGCCAAGTCATGACCGTCACCTGTCCTGCATAATCCACCATGTTCTTCTCCTCCATGGCAGATCCCGTCAGCATCACGATGGCTACCGTACAGGCAAGACCGCCAAGGACAAGGTTGAGCCGCTTCCATGACTTCGCTGGCGCTGCTGCTGCCGCAAGTGTGAGGGAGGAGAGGGGAAGGGCGGGGTCAGTCTTCTACCTGAAGCCGGGAGCATGACAAGAAGTAGCGAGACCCGAAATAGTTTGACACCTGTCAAATGAAAAAAAGGCTCCGACTCTGCCTTTTTAGTTATTACTCCGAGGCTCACGGACACCTAGCTAGCAGGCCCGCCTCACCTCGGAGATGGAAAGTTTCACTTGCGGAGGGGTATCACATGAAGTTACTGCTGCAATCAGTTACAAGCTACAAGACATGGAGTCATGGAATGAGCTCTTGAACAGAAACGAATGGAGTAAGTCATGCAGATTGCATCACTGTAACAAAGTTTCAGATTCGGTTTCCTGTGCCGCGCACACACGCAAGCAGGTGTAGACAGAACGAGGTGCGAAGATGCCCATCTTGTAGCAGAAAGATAGTTTACAGTAGAATGAAACATATAAGGTACTAGGATGTCCCTACAAGTAGTGGAGGAAGGATAGTTCAGTAGATAGACTTCCTTCGCAGTGGATAGGTGGGAGACCGTCTGAGCGGAGAGTGACGGTCGTGCTCCTCCAAGCTTCCCCATTCGTCGAAGTATCGCTCGGACGAGCTGAACGAAGTCGAAGCCAGCTCCTCAAAGCTCGGCTGCTCCAGACCCCTATGCTCGTGCACGGGCTGTGGGTGGTGCCCGGCATGCATGGCCTCCCACAAGCCCGGATGAAACATCTGGTTCCTCTCGTGCTCTACATGATCCCCAGGCAGCAGGCGGCCGAAATCCGCCATGACGTCCCATGCATCCCCGCGTCGATGAGAGGAGGCCGTCCTCTGCGGTCTGAACGGGTTGCAGTCATGCGACATGCGTCGAGGACGCATCTCAATCGGGCTGATGCTGGCGCAGTCATCGGAGGCACAAGGAGACGACATCTGCACAACCATCTGCTGCTTCGCTACAATGTTGGCGTAGAACCTGGTACCCGAAGAGCTTGGTGCCGGCGACAAGCTCGAGCTCGCCCTCCCCATCGTGTGATACATCTTGCGATGCCACGCCAGCCTCAACGGGCTCTCGGCCTCGTCCGGGGAGGAGCACGTTCGTCCTGGGCTGCACGATGAAGGGCTTGAGGAGGCCTCTTGTCGGGCTTGAGGCTTGTGAACGTGGCTTTGGCTATGGTTGTGGCTGTGGCTGTGGCTGTGTCGAATTTCCTTTCTGTTCTTGTACGATTTCTTGATCAGTCGGAGGATCACAGTAAACATGGCCGCAACGACTGAGGCCAAAAAAAGAGAGGAGGCGAAAAATGAGTGAAGCCCTGTCTCCACCTCTCGAACCGCAGATGGCATCATCCCTCCAAACGAAAAAAGCTTGTGCGAGTGCAAACCAAGAATTGACTCGATCATTGGCTAGATTGGTAGTCCCTGGATATGAGACCAGTTGCTTGCATACACTCTAGCCCAATTTGTCGCTCACCAGCGCAGATCCGAAAACAAACTTTTGAAAATCTCAAACTCTTCTAAAACTCCTTGATGCTCGATTCCTTCGCCTTCGTATGCCTTTGAGCACTTGAGCTTGTTCTGCTCTGCTTGCCTGGGCCCTTTCCCCGGTGCCTACGCTCTTCAAGTCTGTGGTATTCTGATCTCTCTGGCGGGAACGTGTCCTCCTATCTCACACTCCGTGCTCTTCTCTTCTCGTTCGCTTCTTGCTCCTGCCCTCCGGCAACCTCTTCCTTTTCTTCCCAAACCCCTACCCCACCCCCCATGGGCTCCCTCCATGAAACACTACCCCTTCTCTTTCAGACTACCCTACCCCTCCCACTCATGGATTTTTTTTTCAGAGGGCTGGTGAGGCTTTAAGACCCCCAACTGTAAACAGAATCGTACCGGTGGTTTACAGTTCCTTCTGTCAAACCCTACTATGACGACCACCCCTACCCCACCTGCACGATATAAGCCAACCACGATGGTCATTGAATTCTAAAAAGGATTATTCCATTGTTAGTTTGCTGCTTTATATTATCTCTTCAATGAATTTTGTTCCTAGTTTTGAAACTTTGCAGAGATAATTTTGAGAACATTTGTGACATTGCACGCCATTTCTTCTCCTTCGACCTCTTCTCCTTACCCCTTACTCATTTTCTATCTCATTGTCAGCATGGTCTCCCCATCTTTCACGTTTGGTTCCCAAAAATTCAATGAGAATCTTTAATTTTCAAACTTTGATCGACTGTATGAAAAGAATATTGAAGCCTGAGGTGTCAGCGAGGGAGTATACAAAACGAACGAACAGGATTTTACAACGTTTCAAACCACAACCGACCTCGTGACTTGTCAGCAGGAACACACAATCTTATGGCAACCCAACGTCGGAGATTCGAAAATAAGATCTTTCATATCAATTTCGTTGAGGATAATGACAGGTTTTATCGTCAGCTTGTCATCACGATTCTCCATTTTTCGGAAACGACAGGGGGTACTTGAAGGTACTCGGACGTTGTGGACAAGGGTAGGGTGACTAGCTTTTTTCGAAAAATAGGTCACGGAGAGAATCATTCAAATGTCGTGATTTCGATTATTTTTATCAGGAAAACAACGTTTGGATCGACCGGCTGCCTCCAGTGACATGGTTACAAAAGTGTGTTTTAGCATAAGCACACGAATCAGAAAACCAAATCTCAGCTTTCAAAAAGGGGATTTCTGATTTTTCAAATGTGATGAGAATATTTGAACTTATCTCCCAATCCTGAGAGCTCTCGTTTCAAATTGAAAACGGTTCTTGGCTTTTTTTACCCAAAACCACCCCCTGGGAACGAGACCACCCTCACCCCCCAGCATAGGCATGATTAATACCACCCCTCCTACCTCAGGCCTTGCATGCGTCCCTCATCCGCCGCAGATAAAAAAGTCACGAGACCCGTAACGTGACGTCCGGCGAGCTGCCTCACCTGTCAGTGCTCACAAGTCCGCCGGCCCGGCGCGGCCTGAGGCGGGCCTCGGGTGAAAGCGGTCCGATCAGGCTCAGTTTACTCACTGAGTCAGTAGTTAGGCTCGGCTCCGAGGCTCGCCGCCGCCGACTGGCGGGGCCGGGCAGCGCACTGGCCAGGCTGCCGCGGCCCGTGGCCCCGCCGCGCTCAGCGGCCCGCTAGTGGTGACAGTGACCATCGGCTCTAGGCTCCGAATCATTGATTGCTCCGCCGGACTAGCCTTGAACGGTCACTCACTGGCACAGCGGCACCGGGTATCAATTATCCGACTGATAGCACCGTACCGTGCGGGCAGTCACGCCACGGATTAAGGTAGTACGCGGCCCACGCCGGCCTGAGCCTCTGCAGCATGACAGTGTGATCCATCGGCAGGGTCGCCGTGCCAGAAACTCGGTGACGGTGATCGGAGAGACCGTCTCACTGTCAAGTTTACTCGATTATCAACCCGACCATGGCCTTTGACGACCTGTGCACTCAGTCGTGATACAGACAGGGCAGGTAGACGAGTAGGAGCAAAACTCATGGCAGGTGTGCGAACAGCTGCAGATGGCGTGAGGAGGGCGGGGAGGGAAGCAGCAACTCACGGATAGAAGACCACTCCCTCATCGTCCTCGATGCATCGGTTGCACTGGTGGCACCAAAGTTGTTGCTGCTCCCTGAAGGCGAAGAGGGTGTCAAACACACAAGAGGGGAGAGCGACAAGCGACCAGTTGAAGTCCTGCCTCGTTCCGAAGAGCTTTCGATTCCGAGGACGAGACACTAGAGTGCGATTCTGACGTAATCTTTTCGACTGTGATGAGCGAACATCCATTTGCCATGGCATTGAATGAGCCTGATGCCACTGATTACTCACTTGCGCAGCCTCCTCCTTCAGAGTCAACTCCTCTCCTCCTCTCTTCCCCCTTCTCAGTCACTCTGTTTTCCCTCCCTCCTCGTGTTTGCCCTCCTGCACGGATCCTCCCAGTCCGACCTTGCAGAACTGAGCTCTGCCAGTTTCCGAGTCACCAAACACGGGCCTGCAAGGTTGGCGAGCAACATCAGAACAAGGAACATGCTTCTTCTCCATCACCGCTTCGTGCAGTTGAAGAATTCGCATAGCTTGCTAACGCAATTGACTTGCCCCTCCTTCCTGTGCATTGAGCAGCGAGTAGCGATGCCCGTGTTGGGGTCCCCGAAGAAAGCTCTCTTACAGCAAGAGGCCTCGCCCTCCTCACAGAGGCGATACTTCCTGACAAGCAAGAATGAGCGGGAGCAGACAGACGATCCTTCCTTGCATACAGCGAGACTTCGTCGTCCGTCTTGTGCAGGTGGCAGTGCCGGCGGGTTCGCGTGAATCTACTCCCATAGGCCGCTGTCAGGTTGCATCCCACCCTCGCGCATCTTCCCTTTGGATGATCGCTCCGTCGTTTTGACCTCAACAGTACATGCCCGTCTAGCTGATGCAGAGAGCAGGCCTGCAATACTCCTCCCTCATACCCAAAGGCAGCGAGGGAGGAGCAGCCCGGGACGCAGCACCTGACGTTCACCATGTCCTTATCTGCGACCCATCGGTCACTCCTCTCAGCTCCATCTCCCTACCTCTGATCACCTGTCGGCAGCCGATGCTGAGCACAGTAGACCCTCTGCTTGCTGACCTCGAACTCGAAGAATTCCCCAAATGTCGATGGCCCGTACTGAGCCAACTTCCTGCAGCCTTCTGCACGACAATGGGAAGGAGCCAGCGCTTTGTGGAAGAGAACGAAGAGGAGGTGAAACAAGAGGGGACGATGTATTGATCCTCGATTATCTTGAGACATGAGAGTTCAATCACAACATGCCTCAAGTCTCATCAAGAGAGAGTATGAAGGCAGTCGATTTGGCCGCAGGATTCCATTTCCAAGGAACGCAGATCACAAATTGTATGGAGCAGTTGCAACCATATCAAAATAGGTGAAAGATGATGAGAATTTCTTGTAATGACCATAAACTGAGTCTCTACATGCTGGGAAGACCCTCAAACATTCAAGTAACTGTTCCACCAAATGATGTACCAACCTAGCAGCGCATGCTTGCTCCCTCTTCTTCCTTCACCTCTTATCTCTCCCTCTTCCTTCTTCCGACTCTCTCCTCTTCCCTCTCAGCTTTCCCCTTCATCCCCTCTCCCCCTCCTGCTTCCTCCTTCATGAATTGCCATCGGTCGCATTCTTATTGCACCCTACCCCTGCCATTCCCTCAGCTATCACCCCACCCCCTGAGACCCACTTTCCCAGCAAATACCCCCTTTGCAACCCGTCACTTCTCACCCCAAGCATTCAGATAGAAAATAGCCTGGATGGAGGGGTGGGTAGTCACCCCCACCCCCTTCATGGCCATGCAGACACCTATTCCATGCTCCGTCACCCACCCCCTAAATATGGAGGAATACTCGGAGCAAGAGGGGGTGCTTACCGAGCGTCATTCCAACCAGCAATGGGGACTATTTGGATCTTTGAGGGTCCCTTATGTTTTAGTACCCCTTATAATTACCAAAAGTACCCACCCATTCGACTTCATTTTGATGACCCCTGGGATTTGTACCCCTTCCCACACTACCCACCCCAACATCCCTACACAGCGCTCTAATTGTCATTGCCGCACAGCTCCCTATGCATGGAAATTTTATGCCAAGGAGGAGAGGACGAGGAAGAGGACGAGGACGAGGACATGGAGATAGACTAGGAAGAGGACGACAATGTCCACATGGATCAGGAAGAGGAAGAGGAGAATGAGGTGAAGGTGAAGGTAAGAGGGACCGGACGAAGGAGGTAAAAGGCGAAACAAGTACCGGAGATCAAACATGTGATAGAGGTCAGGTGCACAGAATGAAAAGGTCAGATGAAAGCCACTTTTCTTCCTATGAAAGCTTGCTGACCTCCTAGATGTCGTCTAACAACACCTTAAGACTTCAAGGCTTGTTTGTTGCTGATAGTGCTCAAACAGGATGCAGTCTTGGTAGCAGATCGCCTCAAGCAGCGTCAAACACCTCAGCCAAGAACTTCTTCATGTCTGCATGAACCTCTTCCTTGCTCAAAGTCACGGGAGATCTTTCAAACTTCCAGCATGAGCTCAGCAGGCTTCTCGCAGATTGCTTCGAGGTTTAAGTTGCGACACAAACGGGATCGCACCTCTGACACAGGTAAGACAAGGTGAAGACGAGGGCGAGGACGAGGACGAGATCATGATGATGACGACGACAATAGAGGAGATGGTGATGGTGACAATTGAACAGAGGCCTTCACGTCGTTTCGGAAACACCTTAAAGTTTCTCGGTCGCGGCTCGAGGACTTGAAGTCGGCGTCCTTATCGCGGATAGAGCAGCACAGGTGACTCGTCGCCTCCTCCTCTTCTGGCTCAATCAACCTTGACAGGAACGAGGGTCAGCACAAGTGGGCAGACTCGCTGCTGAGCTATGGCGAGCATCATGGAGGCCAGCTAGGGGAGCTGCTGATGGAGATGGGAAGGTGGGAAGGAGGAGAGGAAGAGCTGACTAGCATGTGATCCTCTGGTGGAGCAGAGCTCAGAGTCGGCTGGAGCAGGAGCGAGGGGCGCAGCTTGCGTCAGCTCAAGAGCGCTTCCTGCAGTCGGTGACGGAGATCCTCGACGTTCACTTCAGCAGGGTTCACAACAAGAAGATGCTGCTATACTCATACAGGTGGTCGAAAGGAGAAGAGATGCTGTTAGGTGGAGAAACTGACATGGAAGGCTAACAGAGGAGCCGTCGACGAGGCCTCGAGCAAGGTGAAGCATTACCGGCAGAAGATGAAAAGCGGGAAATCGCGGCAGGAGGCGAAAGTGAATAGCGAGAGGATGTTTTCTGTTCCCTCAAGTGCTCTCAGATGGAGTCTTCTATCCGCGACTACATCCAGGCCGAGAACTCTTACGCGCGTCTCAACTCGGAGATCATGACCAGGTTTGTCACCTGAGACCCTCCTGCTCCTCCTCATCCTCCCCCACTTCTCGATCCACCAACCGCCACCACCACTACCTCCTACTCCTTCATCCTCATCCTCATCCTCATCCTCATCCTCGTCCTCATCCTCATCCCCCTATTGCTGTCCTGCTGACAAGCTGTCATGGTGGCGCTAACAGCATCATGGAACTCGAAGCGCAAACAGGTTTCGAGCAAGAGAGGGAGAGGAGGGGTAGAAGGGAGACGGAGTAGAAGTGAAGGAGGGAGACCTGCCACTTACATGTGCTTGCAATTTAGGATTTACGATCATGCAGTCAGCTGCTTCTTTCCTCCTCACAGAAACACAGATCTTGAACGGTAGGACAGTGTCCTCCCCTCCCCTCCCCTCCCCTCAAACTTTTCTCTCTTCTCCTCTCCAACTTTTCTCTCCTCTCCTCTCATAATCTTCTCTCCTCTCCTCTCCTACTCTTTTCTCTTCTCCCCTCCTACTCTTTTCCCTTCTTCTTTCTTCTTCCCTTGTACTCTTTTCTGTCTTGTCGGTCACTTCGGTTCCGCAGATTCTCTCCTGGCTCTGGAAGATCTCAAGCGCCCGATCCAACAATTTCTAGCCAAGTTCGAGGAGAGCAGGTGAGCCTTTGCTGGATGGAACAGCGAAGGGAGGGATGGGAGTATGATGAGAGTTAAGGAGGTCGAGAAGGCAAGAGGAAAGAGAGGGGGGGGAGGATCAGGTTCGACTGAGGAGGGGTTCAGGTTCCCGGTCGAGCAGCTTCTGTCCGACTCGCTGCCAGCTGAAGTGAACAAGGAGGAGGCGGAAACAATGATGGAGGTCCCATATGAGTCCCTTCCCAGCTCACTGACGCCATCGTTCACTGCCACAGCATCCTCCTCTCCTCCTCTCCTCCTCTCCTCTTTTGGTCGTCTCCTCCTCCGCTCCTTCCCTCTTCTCCACGTTTTTGTGACAAGCTCGTTCAGGTCCTGGACCGCGTCTGCCGGCTGCAAGTAGAGCGAGGAAGCGACGGCAGCATGTCGGGGCACCGTCTTCTGTCCTTGACCAGCAGGTCCCCACCTGAGATGCGCAGCTGCTGCTGACTCGCTGCAGGACAATGAAGCGACAAGCGCAGGAGAGCGGGGACGTGACGGAGCTCCGAGCCCAGCAGACCTCCAGCTCCCTCCCATGCTCGACCTCACAGCAAGTCACTCACTCTCACGTATTCGGGCAGCTGCTGGAGCAGATCCCGTCGAAACGGCCGGCAAGGAGCGCAGAGGAGGAGATCATCTCTATCCCCGACGACTTGTCGCAGGCGCCCTGGGTGGTGCAGGAGATCTGCTGGGCCCTGGATGAGAGGGTCGTCGGAGTTGAGGTTGAGATCGAGCCTCCTCCTCCTCCCCCTTCCCCTCCGTCCTCCAATCTCATCCTCCTTTTCCTTATCTGGCCCTCTCCGCTTGACTCACTCTCTTCTTCTCGTGACTGTCCAGAGCATCTTCACAGAGGCTCGGGACCCAAAGCGCATCCAACAGGTGGAAGAGGAGAGGAGAGGAGAGGAGAGGAGAGGAGAGGAGAGGAGAGGAGAGGAGAGGAGGGTCAGGAGCACGTGAGTGGGTTCTAACGTGAGTTGAAGGCGAAGGAGGACATCCAAGAGAAAGATCACCTCTGCTTGAAAAGCTACTCGATGCTCGAGCTGTCTCTGCTGCTTAAGGTTCCTGTGCCTCTCCCTCCCCTCCTCCCTCTTCCTCGTCCTCTCTCCCATCTCACTCGCACTCCCGTTCCTGAGCTCCTTGCAGACTTTCTTGATGGACTTACCGGACCCTCTCATCCCTCACAGTATCCTCCCCTTCTGCTCCTCCCTCCCTCATGTTTGTCAGGTCTCGACGCGAAGGTGGAGGAAACGTCGAACTTGGTGCTGCAGCTGAGAAGAAGAGACCCTAAGCAAGCAGTAGACCTTGTGAAGCTCTTGAAGGTCAGTATCCTCCTCCTCCTGATGCTGCTTGCTGCTTGTTCCTCTCCACTCCTCCTCACTTTCCTTGCGTAGGACCCCACCTTATCTCAGCAGCTCTCTCAGCTCATCTCCTTCCTACCGCAACGAAATTTGGCGACACTCAAGGTGGGGACGGTGGGGAGAGGCGGCGACGGAGGAGGAGGAGGAGTTTGGGTGGCGGGGTGGGATTGCGAGGAGAGGAGCGGAGAGGAGACGTGTCGTAAGCTACCGCAGAGGATGCGAACGACTCTGGTGCGGCTGATGCGACGGACCAAGGAGGAGGAGACGAACATGCGCAACTTCAGCGTCCGCTTGGGCCCCTGCGTTTGTCGTCCGAGGGACTCAGTCAGCCTCACCAAAATCTTCAAGTGAGAGAAAACGAGGAGACACCTGAATATCCTTTCAACGTCCTCTTCCTCCTCCTCCTCATCATCATCATCATCATCATCAGCAGCAGCAGCAGCAGCAGCAGCAGCAGCAGCAGCAGCAGCAGCAGCAGCAGCAGCAGCATCCCTCCACCACTGAAGCCTCTCCTTGCCTCTCTTCTGATCCTTTCTCTCCACCTGCTTCTCCCGCGTGCCTGCCCTTCTCTTGTCCTCTTTCTGTCAGCTCAACTCACTCTCCCTCACTTCTTCTCTCACGCTTCTCCAGCTTCGCGCAGGTCGGTGCTCTCTTTCTCTTCCACGTCCTCTCCCTGCGCGAGCTGCCCAAGTCTCGAGGGTCCCAGGAGCTCTTGGAGGGAGGTGGAAGCCCGCAGCTTCTTCCTACTGACCCTCTCTCACGGCCAGGAAGCTTCTCCTCCAAGGTCTCCGCCGTCCTCTACTCCTTCTCCTCCTCCTCCTCTTCCCCCTCCCTCCTTCCCCAACCCTCCCCCTCCCTCCTCCTCCTCCTCCTTCTCCTGTCCCTCCCTGCCTCCTCCTTTTCTACTTCCTTCCTCGATTGTCCATTTGTCCCCTCCTCTACCCGCTGACCAACGCGCAGGGAAGCAAGCAAGGAGAGGCCTTGGAGGTTCAACTTCAATGGACGGGCGAAGGCTCCGAGCATGCAGGGCTGGAGGGAAGCGGCCGAGAGCCGGAAGCAGCTGCAAGCAGCCACGACGAGGCAGCAGGAGGAGAGGAGGAAGGGCTGCAGGAGGAAGAATGTTTCGCGGGGACAAGCTTCCGAGCTGATCAGTGGAAGACTTTCAAGATCGAGGAGGGGGAAGAGTCGTCTGCTGCCTCCCTGCATTCTGAGAACTGTATGCCGGCACAGGAGGAGGCGGGCGGAGGAGGAAGAGAAGAGAGCGGGGGAGGAGGAGGAGAGAGCGACTACACGGGGACCCTCAAGTCTCAGGCGATGACGGAGGCGTCTGCTGCTGCATCGTCTTCCCTCTGGCACTCGCTGACCCCAACGGCCAAGGACCGCAACTCCAAGGCTCTCCTCCACAGACGCTGCCGGTCCCCTGCGGCCTCGAGAAGTTCATGACTGATGACGTGGCAGGTCGGGTGATGGAGACGTTTACGGCAAGGCCTGCTATGTGTCGACCAACCCCTTTGATAGTCCACGCATCCCTTCCCCAAGGTCTGCACGCTGTGAACTCCTTTCTTCACTACTTTCCCTGTCCCTTTCCTTCTTAACTCACTCACACACACTCTCTCTCTCACTCACTCCTTCGTCGTTTCCTCAAATTTCTTCCTTGCGTGTACCCACAAGTAGTTGCAGAATCGACGAAATTGTGGCGACGCCGACGAGGCAGCAGGGGCGGCTGGTGGGGTGGGAGGAAGCCTCATCGTTCCTTGTGGAGACGGGTGGAGGGAGGGGTGAAGCGAAAGTGAGTGGGGGGCATGCGATCACAGTCAGTCGAGGGTTGCAGGAGCGGGAGCAGAGCGACACGCTCTGATGGCTGGAGGGCTGCAAGGTGTACATACCAGACATGAACTTGTAATGGAAGTTAAACAAACAGTCGCATCCTCCTCCCCTGCTGCTCCTCTCGCTTGCTGGCAGCTGATGCTTCTCGAGGAAGTAGGAAAGCTCTTCACGCAACTTTGCACTGGGGATCGTCAGTTTGCATCGCCCACCAGGAAGCCAGCACCCTCGCCCGAGCCAGAGCCCACAAAGACTCCCTTGCCCGATCCTGTTCCGTTGGAGACGCTCACGTCGCTGCCAGATCCTTCGCCATGCCCGGCCGTCAAGTCAGTTCCCGACAGCTCGCCGTTATCTCCTGCGATGTCGGAGCCTGAGACGTGGCCATCGCCGACGATCACGTCCGTTCCTGATCCTTGACCGTTTCCAATGTTCAACATGGTGCCAGACCCGTAGCCGTCCGTAACGCTGATCCCCGTCCCCGACCCTGACCCGGACACGATGAACATGTCGTGCCCCTCATAGTTCTCCAGGATGCCCTTCCCTTCCACGAACCCATCGCCGACAGTGATCATGTGCCCGGAGCCAACGCCCTTCCCAACCGATACCATCATCCCTGTCCCGTCACCAGAGCCAGCGAACATGCCCGTTCCCATGCCTTCGCCGGTTCCCGCCGTCACGCCATCGCCGTTGACAACTCCCTTGCTGACCGTCACGCCATCGCCTGAGCCGATGCCGTTGGCCACGTGGATTCCAGCACCTGCGGCCAGTGAGCGACGCACCTCTCCCTCCCTTTCCTTCCCTCTCCCTCTTCCTCCCCCCCTTCCTCGCCCTCTCCCTCCCTCTCCCTCCATCGCACTCACCGACAACTTCGCCAGTCTGAAAGTCAGCGCCAGCTCCTTGAGCAGCGACGTCGCCGTTACCCATCACTTGCTCGTTGCCGGCGAAGTTCTTGATGTGATGGTACGAGGCTCCAGCAGTGACTGGAGGAGACGAGCTGTCGTCCGTAGTTGCCACTACAAACCCTGGCTCGCTAGCTGGTTGTGCTGCTGGTGCTGGTGCTGCTGGTGCTGGTGCTGCTGGTGCTGCTGGTGCTGGTGAGTCAGCAGCCGGAGCAGTCGATGCCAGAACTTGTGTGCGAGCATACAGAGAGCTCTGCTTGCGAGAGGCAGCTTTGATCATGGTTTCAGCGAGAGAGATCTGCTCGGGCGTCGAGAGTGAGTGCCAATGCGCATTGGCTGCAAGAAGTTTCGCATCCGTTTGCTGTAGGAGCAAGGAGGTTATCGACAGAACAGAAGGAGGAGCAAAGATCACGTTGGACGTGGAGATGATCATGGCGACAGCTGTGAGCGCGAGAGAGACAAGCACGGCTCCAACAAATGCAGTCAGACGATGATCAGCTGTTGGCCGTCTGACTCCAACAGCATCGAATGCCTGCGAGAAGAGAAGGAGTGAGTCACTATTTATCTCTACCTACAACCCTGGTCGACACCCTCACAGCACCTCAGAGCATCTCCCTTCCATCATGACAGCAAACTTTTCTCACGATTACTCTACGTCCTTACCCACAGCCTCATCATCTTCATCATGTCATCAGCTCTTCTTATCTTCTCTCTCCCGTTGGTTCAGAACCTCCCTCAGTGCCCTGCTCGGCCCAGTTCCTCCTGCCTCCACACGCTTCTCGGCACGTTTCACTTTCCTTCTCTCATCTTTCGTTTCTCATTATTCCATACCTCAAGGTCTCTGCTCTCCAACGCGCCATAGACGACCGACGGCGCTGCTTCCGTGCCCATCCCTCGCGCCATCGTCGCCTTCTATTTTCGGCTCACCCGAAATATCAACCAGCACCCACCCCTACAACCCAACTCTGTCTTTCCCACCCCTACTTAAGACCCCAGATACCACCCGTGGTACTACCGTATCAGCTACAAGGCTTGACTCTACCCCCGGGGGCCCCCAAGGGCTTTCTGCCGGGGCCCCGGGCCGACAGTGCGGGTTGACCTCATCCCCCCTCATACCATGATCTATCAACTTGGCAAACAGCCGCTGAGGCCAGCCAGTGGCAGCGCTGAGCGGCACCCGGCAGGCTGCAAGTTCGGAAGCCTGGGAGGGCCATCGCTGGCCTACTAGCCTACTAGGCTGAGGCCCGGGCCGCCCGGGCCTCAGGCTCGGGCTGATCCGAACTGAACTTCGGAACTTCGGAACTTGGCTCAGCGCTCGGGGCCGCGCCGGGCCGCCCGGTGGCAGAGGGACCACTGAGTCCGCCTCAAAGAAGACATGGTTCATACGAGGACCCCTACCTACTATTGTGCAGCTCAATACACCGGTGTGTTCTCATGCGATCGTCAGCGAAATCAGCCTGTGGAACCGAAATGGAGGATTTATATGATCACGTCGAGAGGAAACAGGTGAAGAAGGGGGGGGGAGGAGGGGGAGGAAGATGGAAGGAGGAAGGGAGACAGACAGACAGACAGACAGACAGACAGACAGAGACAGAGACAGAGACAGAGACAGAGACAGAGACAGAGACAGAGACAGAGACAGAGACAGAGACAGAGACAGAGAGACAGAGACAGAGACAGAGACAGAGACAGAGACAGAGACAGAGACAGAGACAGAGACAGAGACAGAGACAGAGACAGACAGAGACAGAGACAGAGACAGAGACAGAGACAGAGACAGAGACAGAGACAGAGACAGACAGAGACAGAGACAGAGACAGAGAGAGACAGAGACAGAGACAGAGACAGAGACAGAGAGACAGAGAGACAGAGAGACAGAGAGAGACAGATACAAATGTTCAGCAAACGAATTTGTTGAAATGTTTTGCAGTGCGAATGTCTCAATGCAGATGAATCGTTTCCACTGTCAAACGCAATAGACCGCGAGGCGAGAGAAGATGACGAGAAGTTTCTCAAGAGCGACTGTATGATTCAATCGCCTGGTCTATTTCACTGACGGCGAGCAGGCGACGCGCAGCTTTTGCTTCACATCGCCTTTCAGCAAGTGAGGTACCTCAACGCCTGTATGCTTCGCTTACCTGCAAGTGACAGATCGTCAAGATTCACTCGATTGTGAGGAGAAGAGTGCGGTCTGCTCGATGACCGTGATGTTTTATCAGGTCATCTACACATGCCAGAAGCATCGCGCGGTAGGGCCGAAGAAGATTGCTCTGTTTGTCAACAAACCCCACCTAGACTTCAGCAGCTGTGAATCCGAGAAAACCTCTCAGGTCAGCCGTTAAGCGTTTTTGTCCCTGTGTTGACACTTGCGAGCAGGAGATGGAACTGACCGATGACTTGCTTGACGGCAGACCGTTGGAGCTCAAGTTTACTTCCTTTCAGAATGTTTCGAGGTAACATTCTGAAAGAAGGTTGAGGGGGATGAAAGTGAGGTCGCTGGCCAGTCTTTCTATCCTCGTCAAGGGGAACATGAGCGGCGATGAAGACGAACCGACCATCATTAGCAAGCTTTCCTTCCTTGGCTTCACCACCAACATCGAAGTGAGTGAAGACAAGGAAAAGGACTCGAGGTGTCTAGAGCTCATTGGCTGGCAGGGGAGAAAGCGAACTCTTGAAGAGCAGAAGGCCGCATGTGAGCTCACATGCTCAACGTCTTGTTTCTACTCGACGAACCCACTGACAAGTCTGTCTGACCAGCTGCCGGCGATTGGCTGAACCCAAAGTAGGGACGGAGAGAATTGCAAGGGGAAGCAGAACGCAGAAGCACCTGAAGGAAGGAGAGGGACGCTGAGGGAAAGATCATCGCTGGCATGTGCCTTTCATTGTCCATATGCAGTGAGAGTGACAAGTTTACTTTAACCCCCAACATCAAAACCTTCACGTCACAGCAATATCAATTCAAAGAATCTTCGATCGTAGGTTCTCCGACATAAAAGCGAAGCTTTGATCTCGCCTTATTTCACCACAATTTCCCTGAATAGTTTGCTTCTCCATATCCCCTATCTTATTCTCCGTTACAGTTCACTTCGTTTGTCTGCCTTGAGTTGCTCCTCCTTTCCTCTCCTGCAACGAATTTATATGATGTCTTCCTCTCTCCTCTACCTTCATGATTCTTGGTCGCTTCACTCTCCGTTTGTTTCTTCTTGCTCTGTTCTTCTCATCTGGTCTCAGACCTTGTCCTTGCTGCTTTTCTTCCCGTCCCTTTCTCTGCTCCTCCTCCTCCTATCATCCAAACTTGCCTCAGCGCTGGTTGTTGAGAATGGGGGCGCAGGGGTAGCTGAAAGGAGGGGGTGGTGAAACCTTCTGATGACGATGGGGGTGGTCTGGGGCACTTGAGGGGTGGGTGGTTTCAATCTCGCTGTATCTCTCGATCTCAAATTTCAGATACCGCGAGATTGCATCCCATACCATCCCTACCCCCAAAGGTCCCTTCCTTGGTTCTACCCTACCCTTCGATTATCTATGAAACAGTAGATAAACGGAGGGGTACATCCATAGGGAGGTAATTATGAAAGAGGGTCAATTTTTTTGCAGGGTGGCGGTACTTTCAAAGTTCTGTAGTACCTGTATTTAATTAATGAATATATGGGGTGTAAGTCCTAGGGGTGGTATTAGGAGGGGGTAGGGGTACATGGTTTGCGTCTCATAATCTCGAGCGATCTCGCCTTCAGGGATGAAATGGCTCCAGTGAAGGACGGGGGGAGAAGAGCCTGAGGAGAGGAGAGAGGAAGCGAGGAGATGATAGCACAGGATAACACAGCATAGCACAACACAGCACAGCACAGGAAGGCAGGAGAGGAGAGGAGAGGAGAGGAGAGGAGAGCCTCAGATGAAAGGAGAGGTGAGGGGTGGATAGTGAGGTAGAAAAGCCCAAAAGAAGCAGCGAAGAGAGAATTGATGTGCAAGAGAGCGAAAGATTAACGGAGGACAGGCAGCTTTCAAGGTGGAGAAGAGACAAAACATGAAAAAAGAGGAACTGGAACGCAAGGTCAGAGATGAATGAAGAAAAGACGAAGAAAAGACGGGTCAATTTTTTTGCAGGGTGGCGGTACTTTCAACTTTTCAAGTGGGGAGAGGAAATAAGCCCTGTAGAAACAAAGCAGGACATTTATAAGAGAATTGTGGAATAGCATCGAAGCGCAAGCAGTAGAGTAGTGAAAAGGGGAGCAAGAGGTGAGAAAGCGGATCTAAAAGAAAATATAAGATCAGCACAGCATGAGTGTGGAAACGGAGAGGGTGTGTATCTGGGGTGAAAGTGCGATTTGAGGTTAGGATGGATTGAACGAGTAGCTGCTAGATCATGTGAGAGAAGAAAGTGGTAGAGCTAGATGAGAGCTATGACGACTATGTGGGACGAGAGTCCTGCTCTCCCTTTCTCTGAGTTTGAGCAGATGCAGCACCATCAATCATCCCGCAAGACTGTTGGACCCTCAGAACGACAAGGTTTGTGACATGATTGTGGTGTTTCATTCTGATAGCCTGACATGATTGTGGTGTTTCATTCTGATAGCCTGACATGATTGTGGTGTTTCATTCTGATAGCCTGACATGATTGTGGTGTTTCACTCTGATAGCCTGACATGATTGTGGTGTTTCATTCTGATAGCCTGACATGATTGTGGTGTTTCATTCTGATAGCCTGGCAGTGTGGAATTCCTCATGGGGTATGCCCGAACACGATTACTGGCGAGCCCACATCCTTGACTCCAAGTCTGTTCCTTCGACTCTCAAGATCTCTCGGGGTGACTGAAGTCATGCACAGGCTGCTTGCTTCTGCTCGCTCCTACTCCAACTCAGCCTCTAAGGGCCACTCCATGGTCAGCTCACGAGGAGCCGAGGATCATTATGCAGCAGTTGGCGAGCAACGGGTGGAGGAGGCAGAGAGTCAGCCTTCCTCGCGCCTGCAGGTGCCTGGTTCTTGGCGGCAGGGAGGTTGTGACAGCGAGCAGCAGCCCATCCCTCCCAAAAAAGAGCTCATCATCTTCCCCCGACGCAAGGCTGGGCAGCTTAAGAGGTTGCAAAGAGCCTTTGATGCCTTTGCTGACCTGTCGCAGGGACGCTGACAACGTCGCGCCGGTCCAGCTGACGTTGCAAGTGCTGGAGGACATCGCGAACATCCCGCTGGTGGCAGCAGCTAAGAAGCTCGTGCGTCTCAGCCGCTTCTGCTGCCTCGCTCACCCCCTTGCAGGGAATCTCCAAGACGGCGTTGAAGAACGCCTGTAGGAACTTGGGGCTTGACCGCTGGCCTTTCCGTCGAAGGCTGGAACACGCTAGACAGCACGGCAACGTCGAGCGAGAGGTGGGAGAGGAGGCGAGAGGAGAAGGAGTGCAGTCACTCTTTCGCAGTCGTGGATCAATTTGCAAGGATCGAATGACGCTGCAAGTGAAGAAGGCCAGGAAGAAGATGATGAGATGACAAGCTGGACTCTAGCTGGAAGAGACGCGGTGAGACGCGTTGTTCGGCTCCTCTCCTAGAGTCTGACTCCCTTGATCGCAGGCAAGCAGGTCTCAAGGCTCGCTCGGAGAGCAGAGCAGGGCCAAGGAAGAGGCCAAGAGAGGCTTCCATGGTGCCGACCTGACCATCGAGACCCTGGCGGCGAAGTTTGAGGCTGAGGGATCGACGACTGCGTCGCTCTCGGACTCCAACACAGAAGAAGTGATCTCAACTGAGACGAGCGAGCACGGCGGTGCCAACGTGTGGAGCATGCTCGAAGAATGTCACGAGTATCCCCTTCACATCCCAGGTGAAGACGCTAGGGCTGCGGGTAAGGAGAAACATCCCTTGCTGTAACTCCCTTGGCGTCTTCCTCACTTTTCGTCTCTCAGCACCCAACACAGTATGGACTCAAAGTTTGGACGCGATTCGAGACTCGACGACTTGCACTAGGTCTCTCTCAGCCTCGTTTCTGACCTCCTCACCTGCCTCCTCCAGGCTCGCTTCTCCCGCTCCAATGGACTTTCTCTTTGGAGAGGAGGAGCGCTTCCTCTGAAGCTACAGTCTCATCCGAGGGAGACGAGGAGAGGAAGGCTATGTACTGCGATTGTAACATGCACAAGATTTAGGCTATTGCTGTCTTCTCTCCCCTGTTGAGCTCGACAGCGAGTTCGATCGCCTCCTTCAAGTTCGGGTCTTCTTGCTCCCTCCCTTCCTCCCCTTTCTCAGCCTGCGACCTCGGTTCCCCCCTCTCCTCTGCTTCGCCTTCTCTTCCTCCTGCTCCCTGCAATGCGCTTGCGCCACCTTTGCTAGCGGGTCGCGATAGGCTGCGGCGTCATGAGCTCCACCACTTCGCCTCCTCCTCCTCTTCCTCCCTACCTGTGAGGCCCTGCGATGATGGCGATCTGGAGTGGCTTCTGAGCCCCTCCCTCGTCCCCCCGCAGCACCTTGAACCTCCCGTTGCTCTGCTTCGTGAAGGCCTTCACCTCTTCGTGAGAGAGCCTGGGGCTGCGGGGGCGAGCAGGAGACGAGGGGCGGAGGGAGGAGGGACACGGGCTGTCCTGGGAGAGGAGGGAGAGGGCGCTGCTGGCAGGAAGGAGATTCTGAGAGGGGATCAGACGTAGATGCGAGCAAAAAGCCGGACCCACCTGCCCCCGAGCTGAGAGAGGTCGACGAGCTGAGAGCGGGCGCGAGTCCCGGGATGACTTCGAGCTGGAGTCCAGCTGAAGGTCTGCCGCTGCACTCAAATCCGGCTCCTCGCCCCTGAGTTTCTGCTTGCCGGAAAACGAAATGAGAAGAAGACAAGAGGGAGGTGGGGAAGTTGAAGGAAGAGGACGGAAGTGGGGTGGGTAGAGTAGCGAGAGAGGAAGGGAAGACGAAGAGCGAAGGAAGTTGACGAGGCACCTGCAACCCAAGCGAGGGCACGTCTCTGACAATCCGAACTGGCGTGCCGGGCCGAGAGAGGATGAGAGGAGCTAGACGAGGTTTAGAACATCAAGAGAGGCTCGGGGATTAGCCGGGAGGGTTGAAAAGATGATGATCAAAGAGAGGAGGGAGCCTGGTCTCTCACCCGCTCTGTGCGATCTCGCCGTCTCATCGCCACTCAAGTCTTCATCAATTTTCCTCCTCTCAATGTGCGGAACCTGCGATGGACAACGAGGAGTAAGGAGATGAGGAGGAGGAGGAGAGGGTGAGGACGAGGACGAGGACGAGGACGAGGACGAGGATGAAGCGAGGGTGAGAATGAGGGCGAGGACGAGGTGGTTGTGGTGCCTGGGGGGGAGCGGCATCTCTCTCTTTCTTTTTCAGCTCGCTGCGATAATGTCAATCTCCCCTCCCCTCCTCTCCTCTCCTCTCCTCTCCGCTCCGCTCCCCTCCCCTCCCCTCCGCTCCCCTCCCTCCCCTCCCCTCCCCTCCCCTCCCCTCCCCTCCCCTCCCCTCCCCTCCTCTCCTCTCCTCTCCGCTTCCCTCCCCTCCTCTCCTCTCCTCTCCTCTCCTCTCCTCTCATGTCCTCTCACCTCACTCGCTTCATCGCTCTCGTAATCATCGCTTTAACTTCTTTGATCACGTAACCCTCCACCAGCTCCTGCATCAACGCTTCTGCGACGCGCTCGTCCTCCACTCTTCGCGTCGCCTCCTCACGCGCTGGTTCCTCGCTGAGCTTCTGCCATGAGATTCAGATCGACCTGCAGGAGAGGAGGCCGAGCCGCAGACATGGGCAACGAGGATGAGAGGGAAGCCCAACTTTCTACAAGGAGAGAGAGGGAGCAAAGGGAACGGGAGACGGGAGGAGGCGAAGGGGAATGAGCACGGCGATCAAAGAACGCACTATCAGACCTTCTCCGGAGGTTTGTCCATCACCCACAATCCTTCCAACTCCTCCTCTCCGTTGGCTTGCGTGAGTTTTCCTTCCCCATGTCGGAGCCCACGTAACCACATCCCAGTGTACAAGTCACCGTTAACAAATTGTTTCTTTCCTCTACCATGGATCTCGTCCTCCTTGAACTCTCCTTCATACACCCCGCCGTCCTCGAAGAACAGCCTTCCCTGCCCGCTCTTCTTCCCCTTCACCCATCCTCCCTCATACTTGGCTCCATTCTTGTACGAGTAGACACCAAAGCCATGGGCTCGATCCTCCTTCCAGGCTCCTTCATAAGCATCTCCATTGATGTAGGAGCATCGTCCCTTCCCACTTGCCCGGTCGTCTCGCCATTCACCTTGGTATACGTTGCCGCTCTTGAAAGTGTACCTCCCGCGACCATGCTTCTTGTTATCCTCCCAGCCCCCATCGTACTTGTCTCCGTTTCCGTAACAGCACGTCCCTCTCCCGTGTCGTTTGTCCTTACTCCATTCTCCATCATAGCTGACACCAGACGCACAGAGGTACCGTCCTCGTCCATGCTTCTCTCCCCCCTCCCATTCTCCTTCGTACATGTCGCCATTGCTCAGCACCACCCGTTCTACTTGCGACGAACCTTTTCCCGATGGTCTTGAAGCTCCTCTCTCAGATGCATCAGGAATTCGCTCCTTCAAATATCCTCCTCCTCCTCCTCCTCCTCCTCCTCCTCCTCCTCCTCCTCCTCCTCCTCCACTACTGCCGCCACCAATCTCATCCGGCATGCCGTTGGCCTGACGGTTTCAAAACCGTTATGCTGTTAGGCCGGGGGCCCGGCGGGGATATTCACTAGTGCACACTGTGACTCAGGCTGAGGGAAACGCCCCGCTGCTGAAATTAAAAGATTGTTGAAATTAAAAGGTTGTTGAGGTACGAGTGAAGAAATTAAAAGGTTGTTGAGGTACGAGTGAAGAAATTAAAAGGTTGTTGAGGTACGAGTGAAGAAATTAAAAGGTTGTTGAGGTACGAGTGAAGAAATTAAAAGGTTGTTGAGGTACGAGTGAAGAAATTAAAAGGTTGTTGAGGTACGAGTGAAGAAATTAAAAGGTTGTTGAGGTACGAGTGAAGAAATTAAAAGGTTGTTGAGGTACGAGTGAAGAAATTAAAAGGTTGTTGAGATACGAGTGTCAATTCGGTACCAACACTACCTCTATAACTCGGTCCTAGCAGGGGTCATATACGCTGGTAGTAACGTAGGGCTGTACCGGCTAGGACACTTTACTTGTGCCGTGCCCTGCCACAAAAGTACCCCCGCAGTTGAGGCTGATTGAAGGGGCGATGGACCGGTGGTAGCCGGCAGATACCGGGGCGCCTCGAATAAGCGTGATTTCGATCAGACAAGGCACTGGTGCACAGGCTGCTCAGGGGGTGGGGTGGTTGTGTTGACTTTCTGAGTGGGGTATCAACTGACGATCCCTTCCACCCCCCCCACCCCCATCTTTCCCCAGGCTCTAGGTGCTCCCCCCCACAAAAGTTAATGGGCCCACCCCTACCCCTGATGAAGTACCTTGTCACTACCCCACCCTCGTCGTCTGCTGCATATCTCCCTATCCCTGACAAGGCCCCTATTTAAGCGTGAGCACACCTCATCGTGGACAAGAAGAAATGGCTGCGAGGCCGGAGAATCAGGTTGAGAGGCGATCGCCTCGCCTTGTCTCCGCATAGAAGCCTCGCCTTGTCTCCGCATAGAAGCCTCGCCTTGTCTCCGCATAGAAGCCTCGCCTTGTCTCCGCATAGAAGCCTCGCCTTGTCTCCGCATAGAAGCCTCGCCTTGTCTCCGCATAGAAGCCTCGCCTTGTCTCCGTCTAGAAGCCTCGCCTTGTCTCCGCATAGAAGCCTCGCCTTGTCTCCGCATAGAAGCCTCGCCTTGTCTCCGCATAGAAGCCTCGCCTTGTCTCCGTCTAGAAGCCTCGCCTTGTCTCCGCATAGAAGCCTCGCCTTGTCTCCGCATAGAAGCCTCGCCTTGTCTCCGCATAGAAGCCTCGCCTTGTCTCCGCATAGAAGCCTCGCCTTGTCTCCGCATAGAAGCCTCGCCTTGTCTCCGCATAGAAGCACCTAGCACGACTACAACACAGGTGAGAGCAGGGACCAGACTCGCTCAACATGCAGGGGGCAGTTGTCTCATCTGTGCTCAAGAAGCGAAGACAGCAGAAGGGGAGGAAAGTCGAGGAGGAAGAGATCGAGCATCTGATTAAACATCCGATCGACACGTTGGTAGATGACATCCAAGAGGTGGAAGGAGTCCTCAGGGACACGGAGATACAGAAGCTGTTTGGGCTCAGAAGCAGAACGGACCCCATTGTTCGCAGGGAGATCCAGATCGACGGGCTTCTGAAGAAGGTGCGGGAGAAGCTATCTCGCTCCTCCTCTTACGTCAGGCTCTTCGGAACATCGCTCTTCTTCCTCGTCTACGTCTCCTTCCTCTTCCTGCAACGAGACATCGAGTCGTCTTACTACGTTGAAAGCTCCGTCATCGACCTGGTAGGGAGCAACCTTCCAATGCTGGGCAACGGAGGATACATGAACTCAGGGCTGGGCTCGACGGGGTTTCTGAGCACCTCAGAAGATTTCTACTCCTGGTAGGTTCCCACCCCCTCCTCCTCGCTGACGGAGCAGTGCAGGTTCCGCGGGATAGCCCAGGTAGTCTTCAGCGACCCCGTGTGCGGTGACGGGAAGTGTGACGAACCGGACGAGTACCCGGGATTCGGGAGGTTCGGATGCATCAAAGACTGCGGCAAGTACAAGAACGTGACTTCGCTAACAATCACGCTAGAGGACGTGGTGAAGCGAAGCAGCAGCGAGCTTGGAATCTCTCTTAAGAACTCAGAGCTGGAGCAGGATACGTCGCGAGTGCGATTCTTCTACAACATCTACAGCGAGACGATGGGAGACTTTCTCTTCGAAGATGACGTCAACGCTACCCAGATGACCTTCGAGGCGCCGGACGGCGAGCTGACGCTGGTGCTGTATCAGGACTCCTCTACTGAGGGGCTGGTGGAGAATCAAGCGGTTTCTTCGCTGTTTGGAATCACGCCAAGGTGAAGAGGTTCAGCCATGTACGCTGAGCAAGCTGAGAATGTTCACAGCTCCTTCTCACGTCTGCAACCACGGAAGACAGCCATTGAATACGGAAACCTGCGAGAGATGCTGAAGAACGCGGTGTATGGCGAGAATGCGCTGAAGACTTTGTGTCGTTCGCCTCTGGAATCTCAGGTTGCATTCTGCAACACGTTCAACCCACAAGGTAGGAAGATGAAGAAGTCGGAGGAAGATGAAGAAGTCCGAGGAAGGTGAAGAAGTCGGAGGGTTCTGACGATCTGATGGGCAGACATGGGCTACCTCTTCACCTCCAAGTACGGGGTCAGCGGCAGAATTGATCTCAAAGACTCCGTGACGGGCGTGCTGGAGACACTAGTAGAGGTAAGCTTTCAACTGATTCCACCGATAGTAAATCTCGCACAGGTAGGGTACTGTAGCATTCTGCCCAATGTCAGCGGAAGTCCGTACGTGCCAGCCAACAAGGCGACCATCGTTCAGTCTGGGTCCAGCTGTGAAAAGTCTTCCAGCGTTCGACGCTCTCGAGTACGCGAGGCCCCAAGGAGTTCTCATCCCCTCAACCCACTGCCACCAGCTCTTCCTCCCGAGGGTACTGCCAAGCAAGTCGCCCTGGACAAGACTGCAACTGCTCGCCAACATCCGCTTGTGTCCTCGTCCTCGGACACAAGCGCTCAGAGCAAGGATGTGCACACCAGTCGCGAAGTTGCTAGGAAGCAGCTCCAAGGTCCAGAGGCCAAGTCTGGCAAGATGTCGTTGAGGTATGCCACTAACTGCCCCAACCATGGTCAGACCCTCTCAAGCCCCTCTGGCTTCGTCATCTCGGGCGAAACTTCATACTACTCTACATATACTAGATGCAACTGGATCCTTGCTCCGCCTGTCAACGGCAGTTTGACTGTGACGTTCCAAAAGTTCGACGTGTACCAGTACAGGTATTATTCTAATCCGTGCTACTACGACAAGGTGTCTGTCTACTCGTGTTCGACTATCACTTGCTCGTCGAAAAAGTTGCTCGCGGTGTTGTGCGGGACGCTGGATCAGATCAATGCGCAGGTGACATCACCCACCAGCATCATGCGGATTGAATTCTGGACCTCCTACTACTACAGGAACAGGAAAGGCTTCTGCCTTACATGGGGCTCGGCGGTCGCATGCCCTGAGCACCCTGAAACCCCCGTCCTGAAGCCCGTCGCTTACACGCTGAGACCTCTGTACAACAAGTACGTCTACGGGACTTCTGTCGCGGAGGTGGAGGTGTTGAGCGCCTCAAACATCACCTACATGCGTTACGCTCTCTCTACCGAACGACAGCAGACCCCAACTTGTGACTGCGCCGACTGGCAAGACGCTGCTACTTGTCCAAACGCTGTCCAGCATGGCTCTAAGATCCAGCTCTTCTTAGAGGGCAAGACGTATCAGTGGTACTTGCGAGTCAGAGTGATCGCCTGCAGCAAGTACTCGGACTTCCAGTTGGCGAGCTCGTACACCTACTACTATAGCTACTTCATAGGACCTCCCGATGTCAGCTTGTCTTTCCGTCTTAAAGTGTTAGAACCCTCAGCTGGGAGCTCCACGCCCAGCAACAGCTCAGCTATCTTGTTGAACAACTCGACGTCTCCTGCCAACTCCTCGTCGCAAAACTCCTCCAACAGCTCGTCTGTCTTGCGCTCTCTGTGCGGGAACTTCTCCGTCGAACAAGTTTGGAGGAAGATCGTGGGGGAGAAGCTCAACATGTCTCGCGATCTTCCTCACCCGACCTTCTTTAACGTGACCCGTCAAGACCCCACGGTCTACGTGTCAAGCAAAGTGATCGCCGTATCCCAAAGCCACGTGGCCGCCATCGTCAACCTTCTGCTGGACCATCGGCAGCAGATGCAGCAGGAACTTGTTCGCGCCTGTCCGTTCGTGAGTATCGAGCAAGAGATGGCGATCACCACTGGCTGGCTCTACAGCAAGGGCCCGCGAGGTGAGAGCACTAGAGTCTTGTCAGTGATTGACCTGCGGCATCAGGTGGGGTGTGTGAGTCGCACTACGACTGCCAGGATCAAGGACTCTTTTGCACCAAGCCCAGCTCGTCGAGCTCGGAGAAGGGGACCTGCGAAATCTGCAGCTTCTGCAAGGTTGACGCCAGGGACGCCATCGACGGTCGTTGCCCTTTCCTACTGTGCCCCACCTCGGGCAACTTTCCCGCTTGCATGGACGCGCAGCGGCTGACAGCGAGCGCCACGTGCCCGAGCGACTACAAGTTCAGCGTGTGGGAGTATCGGAATGCGAGCGAGGGCCCGCCTAAGATCGTTCCTCCCTTCGAGCCCAAGAACCGCGAGATCACTCCCTACAACAGAATCGTCGGCGCCATCGTGATCTCACAGAGAAGGATGAAACCGACGTCCTGTGCTCAGAGCGTGAACAAGCATGTCCAAAAGTACATGCAGTCAGTGGAAGGAATCGTGAGCTGCCCCTCCTCCACCCTCGACGACACGCCGTATGGGTACGATCCTTCCTTCATGTCCTTCAGCAACATGTACAACCCGAAGCTCTACCCCGAGAAGTTCTACGCTCCCCTTGAGAGGCATGTGATCGAGTCGGATGGAGAGAAAGAGCTCTCCTTTCCCATCGGCTTCTTTCCGCAGAAGTACGACACCAACTTCTTCGACAAGGACATGGACGGCTTCATCTCTGAAGAAGAGGCCGCGCGCAACCTCACCGGCTTCAAGGGAGCCTACAAGGACCCCAAGTACATCATGCCGTCTGAGGGAGACACGTTCAAGCTCTACTTTGACGAGCGGCTCACGCAGATGCTGGCGCAGAGCATGATTCAGTTCGCGGAAGACGGCTCCTTCATCGACTCGCAGACAGAGGAAGTGCGAGTGCAGTTTCTGACCTACAACGCTCCTAAGAACATCTTCGCTCTTCACGAGTTCATTTTCAACTGGCAGAAGACAGGAAGGATCCCCTGGGACTACAAGGTCAACTCCTTCTCCGTTGACTTCTTCGCTGGTCCCAAGGCCGTGATGCAGATCTTCTTGTTCGTCCTCTTGGTCACGTTTCTCCTCATCAACAGCTACATGGAGGTCACGGAGCTGCTCGCCGAGATCCGCAAGTACAACCTGACAGGTTACCTGTCGCATCCTTTCAACTGGATCGACTGGACGCACTTCGCCTTCATGTGGGGGACTATCATCACCTGCCTCCTCCACTACTTCGACTGCCGCCAGTTCTACATGAATTCCAACTACCCCGTCCTCTTCTACGGGCCCGAGTACAGCATGGCAGGGCAGCGCAAGGGCATCACAACGGTGCAGACGGGAAAGAGCTTCGAGGTTCCTCTGCTCAAGTCCGGCAACGCCAAGGCACGGCACTTCCGGACGGACAACCAGGCGGAGATAGACCTGCTGAACCTGCTGGAGCAGGCGAGGACGGTCTCGGGGTCGATGAACCTCTACTCCTTCTTTGCAGGAGTCAGCGTCGTGCTCTTCGTGCTGCGCATGCTCAAGTCTCTTGACTTCCAAGAGCGCATGGGCCTCGTGACTCGCACCATCGCACGCGCGTCCAGCGACCTCTGGCACTTCATGCTGCTGTTTGCTGTCGTGTTCTACGGCTACTCCGTGGTTGGTCACATGCTGTTCGGTCATCAGTACGAGGTGAGAAAAGGAGGTAGAAAAGGCTGAGGGAGGGAGGAGACGGAGAAGCTGGGTAGGAGGAGCTGACTAAGTTGGACGGGACAGGGGATGAAGGACATGTCGACGGCATCTCTCACGCTCCTCATCTTCCTGCTCAGTCTTGACACGACTCAGTTCTACGCGTCGGTGAGCGAGCAGAGGATCTGTGAGATGTGAGCGAAGCTGACATGCAGCCGTAGATGTCGCATGCAGCTCCTGACGGCGCCTTTCACATCTTTCTGTGGTCGTATCTGTTCATCGCCTTCTTCATCCTGCTCAACGTGTTCCTCGCCATCTTGGTGGACGCGTACGCCAAGGTCAAGGAGGAGACGGAGGGCACGACTGGGCTGGTGGAGGACCTGCTGGAGACTCTCTGGCATGGGCTGAGGAAGGCGATAAGGATGCAGCAGTTCGTGTCGAACCAGAAGCTGGAGGAGGCGCTGGTGAAGGAGCGCGAGACGTTGACGTCCAAGGAGAGCCAGCGTCGCGTGCTCGAACGAGACCTCGAGGAGGAGAAGCTGATCCTGCTGCCCGGGGGCGTCTCCCTCGACACCCACGAAGTTGCCGTGCTCGCTCGACGAGCGTTGGGGAGAGAGGCAGGCAAGGTTCATGCGGAAGAGGCGGGGGAGGAGGCCGACCTCATGTTGCAAGAAGACGAGATCGTCGCGTCGGCAGACCTGATGAACCGCTATGGCATGGAGCCGTCGGAGATCTCTGAGAGGAGGAAGGCCGAACTCTTGGAACTGCATGACCTAGATGGGATCCGACGGCAGATCGGGACGCAGATCGGGCAGGTCAAACTCCTCAGCAGCCAGCAGCGGCTTCTCAACCTCTTATCGAGCATCGCCAAGGAGCTCGCGCCCTCGGCGTTTGAAAAGCAGGAGCAGCTGGATAAGCAGCCGACTGACAAGCCGCCGGCTGCGACCTCAGAGACCATCTTGAGGGTGACGCTGGTGCAAGCGACCAACCTGCCGAGGATGGACCTGATCTCGGGCTGTGACCCCTACTGCGTGCTCTTCGTCAACGCGTGCTCGGGGCTGTCGACGTTTGCGTCGGAGGTGAAAAACAAGAACGTGAACCCTGTGTGGGATCAGAAGTTCGAGTGGAAGATGACCAGGCAGACCAAGGTGCTCAGCGTCACTCTGTGGGACAAGGACGATGTGAGCCCTCCTGGAGAGCTGCTGGAGCTTGCAGGTTAATCTGACGGGTTTTAAACTCAGGTGACGAGCGACGATCTGGTGGGGTCAGTGCAGGTGGACCTGCAGCAGCTGCCGGACGGCGAAGAGCATGAACTTACGCTGCCGCTGCACAACCAGAAGCTCTTCAAGAAGCTGCGTGAGACCCGCCTCGTGCTGAGAGTCCTCAAGCAGACCGAAGCCGAGTTGCTCGAGGTAGGCCAAGGAAGCGTCTTGTCCTTGAACCTCACGGCTGTGACAGCAGGAGAAGTCCATGATGGAGAAGCAGGAGGAGAAGCAGGAGGAGAAGCAGGAGGAGGAGACGTCGGCGCACGTCCATCAGATAGAAGAACTCAAGGAACTGGACGAGCTGGACGAGCTGGATGAGCTACTGCAGGATGAAGTCAAAACTCTGTGAAGGACTGAAAGAACCTGCAAAACCGAAGGCACCGCTCCACGAACAGGCTGAGAGGCTTTAGTGGTGGAGGAGAGCTGGGCGATAGCTGAGATGATAGTACATAACGATACACGGCAGCTTCTCCTATCGACCACAGGAGGGGCAGGGTGGGTCGGTGACTGAGAAGCTGACAGTCTTTGCAAGGCAAAGAGGTCACGTCTCCCTGACCTCTGCGAACGAGCGTCAACGGCAGCTGGTCATCCGTCAGCTCTCATGAGGGTCGAACTCATCGGGAGTTCGACTTGCTTCCAGGCATTCACAAGGCTGAAGTGACTTGAAGGAGGGGGAGGGTAGCAGGTGTCTCAAGTGACTTGAAGGAGGGGGAGGGTAGCAGGTGTCCTGCCTCCTCTCTCGCGTGTGATCGTTTTCTCGTCATCTCTTTGCCTTCATGCTTGAGATCTCTTCTCTTCCCTCATCTTGTAAAGGTTTAAATTTCTCGTTCCCACCACCCTCTTGCCGTTGAAGCTCCCTTCTAGATCTCGCGGCCTCATGCACGTTCACTAGTAGGGGCTCCTCCTCGCTTACTCGCAGCTTGTCAGGCACCTCCTGCCTCGTCCGCTCCGTGCGCTTCACGGCATTCCATGTCGCTTCCTTCTCTCACCCTCGTCTGCCTCCGACGGCCTTGATCAAGTGTTGCCTTACTCACGTTGCCTCTCGCCAGCAGGGGGCAGGACAAAGTTTCAAGTTTCAAGTTCAAATTTCAAGTTTCATCACAACTCATCGGTACAACCTTCTGTGCTTCAAACAGCCTCGACGAAAGATGGAACGGCAGCTAGATCATTCATGAGTTTTACTCGCATCATAGGATCAGGTAGAAAGTGCCTCAAGCAGAAGAATGCAGGAACCAGCAAAACCTTACCGTGTTCCTGTGTCCAGCCTCCCTCCGTCCGCTGCCCCAGGCGGACCCCCGGGCAACGCCGGCTCCTTGTCGGCGGCTGCCCTTTCTCCGTCCGCGGCCGCCCGCTTTGTGGCGGCAGCGGACGTCTCGACTGACAGTGGTCAGTCGGCTGCCTCCGGGTATCGCGTCTAAGGGATTTTCTTCCTCCTGCATGCTCCTGCTGCTTGTTGCTTGATTGCTTGACCCTTAGGCTGCTTGTCTGCGCGGCTTCGCGCTTGGGCTGGCGGTGCCGCGTCTGGGTGCCAGCAGTGCTGGTTCTTTTCGGGCTTGTGTTTTGTGTGTGATTGTGCAGCTTCTCGCTGTGCGCTGTGTGCCTGGAGGTTTAGCTTGTTCCTGCTTTGTTTTGCTTGAGGCACTTTTTACCCTCTGCCAGTAAATCCACTATTACTCACGCACACATCAAACAGCAATAACACAAGGCAGCAGCGGCCCCTAGTGCTGCTTCCCCCTCCTCCCCGGACTCCTCATCGTCCAGCTCGGATGATGACTACAGCAAACTGTTTCGGCCTGATCCCCCTGTAGTTTCCGAGTCTCAGGCTGCAGGCGCTGACTCTCCGCCGTCTCTCTCTGGAGGCGCTGCGAGTGCATCAGCTGGGGTTGCCCTGCCTGAAGATGCTCCGCCTGACGCTGCTGATGCTGACTCTGATTCTGCTCCGCATGTGCCCCCGGTTCTCCCTACGGCCCCTCCGATTGGCCGCAGGGCTTGCAGTGGTTGATCGCCTCGTCGGTGAGACTGCAGAGCTTTCGCTGGCTTGCCTTGTGTCTTTGCTGCGATTCATCGATCGGTATGATCCCTCCTCGTCCAGCATTTATAGGATTTACTGGCAGAGGGTAAAAAGTGCCTCAAGCAAAACAAAGCAGGAACAAGCTGAACCGGCAGGCACACAGTCCACAGCGAGAAGCGGCACAAGCACACACAAAACACAAGCCCGAAAAGAACCAGCACTGCTGGCACCCAGACGCGGCAGCGCCAGCCCAAGCGCGAAGCCGCGCAGACAAGCAGCCTAAGGGTCAAGCAATCAAGCAACAAGCAGCAGGAGCATGCAGGAGGAATAACATCCCTTAGACGCGATACCCGGAGGCAGCCGACTGACCACTGTCAGTCGAGACGTCCGCTGCCGCTATCAGCCCCTTGTCCTTCTAGCATCTCCCTGCTTTACTGCTTCCCGTACCAACCTCTGCAAATGGTAACCAAGGACTCGCTTATCAAGCGCCAGTGCAGACGTTTCTTAGGAAAGAAGCAGGTGAAGGGGGCGGCACCGCCGCCCCAAGGACAGCAGCAAGCAGCAGCAAGCAGCAGCAACTTCGGCGGTTATCTCGGAACCTGCAGCTGCCGTTCCCTCAACAGCTGCAGTGAAGGAGTCGGAGCAACCACAAAGGCGGCGACGGCGGCGACGGCGGCGGCAGCAGCAGCAGCAGAGACAGCCTCAGCCACCGCCACAGCAGCGACCACAACCAAGAGGGCCGAGGCACCAGCAGCCCGCGTCTCAGGGGGAGCGGGCCTGTTACTTCGCCGCGACCTCTCCTGTCTCTCACCTCTGCGTACGAGCGCCAAAGACAGTTGTCGATTCGCCAGTTCTCCGCGGGTGACCTTCATCGGGTTGTACGGACGCTGCTAAGCTCAGGCAACTACAAGGCTGACACTCTTGCTGATCTTCTTGCTGAGGCACAAGCGAAGTTCCCTGCTGGTCCATCGCCTGCCTTTGGAAGTGCTTCCGCGGCTCATCTCACCCAGCAGGCGCTTGCGGCCCTTCGGAGCAGGATCTGACTGACATCCTCGACACCACAAGCCTGATCCAGGCGATGAAGCGCTACAGCTCCTTTGCGGCGGGGACCGATGACCAAGGGTGGAGGATTCGGCAACACCTGTCTCTCCTCTCTGATCAGCCAGACCTTCTGATTCCTGCCCTGTCGGCCATTCGTCGAGGAGGCAGATTTATTCCCCTCTCCAAGGGAGCTGATAAACCTGGTTTGCGGCCAATTGTCATCGGTTCCGCGCACCGTCGACTCGCGACGAAGCTTGCTTTGGCGGGGATTCGCTCATTTCTTGACCAGCACTTCCTCTTGTCCCACCCTCGAGCGATTCAGTTCGGACTGGATCGAGACGGCTGTCTGAAGTTCTCGCAAACCGCGTCCGCGCTCCTGCCTGTTCATACTCGCGGTGATGATGAAGATGTCGCGAACCCCACAGTGCTTGAGGCACTTCTTACCTTCTGGGAGTAAAACTCAGTTGTCTGACAGTGCTGGTGAGTTTGGATGCAAAGAACGCCTTCAAATCCCTCGACTGCCAAGCTCTCTTCGACTCCATCGAGGGAAGGGCGAGTTGCAACTACTTAGCATCAGCGAAGGTGCAAGCTTGCCGTCTTCCGAGCCTCTCCGGTTGTTCGCCTCCTATCTCTCCAGCTCCTATGGAGACTCTGCTGACCTTTGCCTCTTTCACAAGGATCAGTCAGCTTCCCTTGTGTGCAAGCAGGTTTAGCTTGTTCCTGCTTTGTTTTCCCTTATGCGAGTAAAACTCTGTTCCTGCCCTTCAATGTACTTCGGGCGTCTGTCAAGGCGATGTTCCCTCCAGCGTACTCTTCTGCCACAGCATCCACCCACTGCCCTTGCGGGCGCAAGCACTTCTCGAGCCAGAGGACAGCTCCTCCTC